TTTGTAGCTCTAGGAGGTAGGCACTGCTTCTATTCCTGGACATTAAAAGGTCCAGGCCCGGCAGAATGGGGCAAGATGGGGCCAGCAGCCTCAGAAGAGGACCGCGTGGGCTGTTGTTGAGCAGTTCTGACAGGGTGTTTACTGTTCGACCGTCGGGTCAGCTGCTCCGGGAGCGGTGCCTGGCGCTGCCACCAGGTGGCATCTCCGCTCGCTACCGCCGGTGGGGAGGGGAGACCAGGGGCCTGGAGGAGCCGAAAGCCTGGGTCCGGGGCCCGGCGATAGCAGAAGCTGGGGTGCCAGATACCGAGACCGGCGAGGGAAAGGGGGCAGGGCCAGGGAGATGGGGTGTGACCGACACCACGTCCAGATAGAGAATGGTTGACGCCCTTCATGTCTAAATGATTCCTTTGCTCCCCTGTGGCAGAAGTTTGAAAGGAAATTTCAGTCTGAGAAGGCAGCAGGCTCGGTGTCCAAGAGCACGCAGTTTGAGTACGCCTGGTGCCTGGTGCGGAGCAAGTACAATGATGACATCCTCAAAGGCGTCGCGCTGCTCGAGGGTGAGGCGCCGGGCGACCTAACTCCCCTTCCCGCTGCCATCGGGGCTGCTGTACGACGTGGGCCCTGTAGGCCAGGAACCTTGCAGTTGTCTCCGGTAGATTTACTGCAGCAAGGCTGACCTCTCCCACTAAACTTTTGGCTGCTTACCACCCACCATTGTTTTGCCAGACAGAGTCCTAGCCTGCCAGTTCCCCCAAGACTATGTTGATCTGGGAAAGCGCCTTGAAGTCATGCAGCTAATCAATTAATGGCTGAATTGGGAATAGAAGCTCCAGTTTTGAGAGACCCAGGCCCATGCCCGTCCCCCCAACACCAGCACCTTGTTGCTTAGTTCGCAGCTACTGAGAATCTTTAGTGGCGTGGAAGAGGTACAGAGGACTGTCCCACAAATTTGTGAACAGACAGTGCTTTTTGTTTTTTGTTTTTGTTTGAGACAGAGTCTTGCTCTGTCTCTCAGGCTGGAGTGCCGTGGTGCTATCCCGGCCCACTGCAACCTCCACCTCCCGGTTCAAGCGGGCCCGCCACCACACCCGGCTAATTTTTGTATTTTTAGTAGACAAGAGTTTCACCATGTTGGCCAGGCTGGTCTCCCACTCCTGACCTCAGGTGATCCGCCCACCCTAGTCTCCCAAAGTGCTGGGATTACAGGCCTGAGCCACTGCATGCGGCCAGATAGTGCTTTTTGGATTGGGTCAACATTTGTCAGAGGCCACAATACTTAACCACTTAATTTCTCTATAGCTCCTTTCTTTCGTTCAAGTAATAATTTATAAGCACACAGTATACAACCATCCCTCTGTATCCGTGGGGGATGGGTTCTAGGAACTCCACCCCCACAGATACCAATAGCCACCCAAGTTTGTGGTGTTACATGTAACTTACACATCTTCCCCCATATACTACATCATCTGTAGATTACTGATAATACCAAGTACAAAGTCAATGCTGTGTAAATAGTATACTGTATTGTTTAGGGAATAATGGCCAGAAGAAAGGTCTGTTCATGTTCAGTACAGATGCAACTACCTTCCGTTTTCCTGAGTATTTTTGATCCGTGGTTCGTTGAATCCATGAATACAGAACGCTGATGTGCTAGCAAAGGATGCCTATTGAAAATCTATAAAGATAAGACTCTTTCTTAAAAGATACAAATAATTTCACCGCATGTTTGTCTACTTTCACAATTGAGATTTTCAGGTTTATTCTGCAGCAGGGTGTAGCAGTAGAAGAAACGGCCTCTCCAGGTGTTGCCACTCTAGTTGGGGCGACAGTACAGACACTTAGGAAGATTTATAAACACCTGCAAAACTATTTGGCAACAAATCCTAGTGCATAGAGTACAGTTATCCTCTGGGAGGCCTCTGAACTAAGGTCAGGTGGGGCCAGGTGGCTCACGCCTGTAATCCCAACAGTTTCAGAGGCCGAGGTGGGCAGATCATGAGGTTGGGGTTTGAGACCAGTCTGGCTAACATGGTGAAACCCTGTCTCTACTAAAAATACAAAAATTAACTGGGCATGGTGGCTTGCACCTGTAATCCCAGCTACTCAGGAGGCTGAGGCAAGAGAATCCCTTGAACCCAGGAGGGGGAGGTTGCAGTGAGCGGAGATCATGCCACTGCACTCTGCTCTGGGCAACAGAGCAAGACTCTTGTCTAAAAAATAAAAAGAGAAAAAGAAAGTCAAGTGGGGCCAGGCTTTGTGGCTCAAGCCTGTAATCTCAGTACTTTGGGAGGCTAATGCCAGAGGATGGCTTGAGGCCAGGAATTTGAGACCAGCCTGGGCAACATAGGGAAATCTTGTCTGATTTTTTTTTTTTTTTTAGATGGAGTCTTGCTCTGTAGCCAGGCTGAAGTGCAGTGGCACGATCTTGGCTCAATGCAACCTCCACCTCCTGGTTCAAGCGATTCTCCTGCTTCAGCCTCCCAAGTAACTGGGACTACAGGTGCCTGCCACCGTGTCCAGCTAATGTCTGATTATTTTTCATTTCATTAAAAATTTGTTACAAATAAAGACAAGGCCTCACTATGTTACCCAGTCTGGTCTCAAATTCCTGAGCTCAATTGATCCACCTGCCTTGGGCTCCCAAAGTACTGGGATTACAGGTATGAGCCACCACACCTGGCCTGTCTCTATAACAAAAAGTTTTTTAATTAGCTAGGTGTGGTGGTGTGCACTTACAGTCCCAGCTACTCAGGAGGCAGAGGCAAGAGGACCACTGAGCCCAGGAGTTGATGCTGCAGTGAGGCATGGATGTGCTACTGTGCTCCAGCCTGAGTGACAGGGCGAGACCCTGTCCCTAAGGAAAGAGGGGAAGGAAAGAGAGGGAGGGAGGGAAGGGGGAAGGAAGAAGTCAGGTGGGGTCTTCAAGGAAGGCTGATTGAAGGTGAGTTTTGAGCTGATTTTTTAAGGGGGGTCCTAACATTTTTTAAACAATAATTGGACAGCAGACATTATAGTTAAAACCACAGCAGCAGCACTTTTAGGAGGGCGAGGCAGGCAGATCACCTGAGGTCAGGAGTTTGAGACCAGCCTGACCAAGATGGTGAAACCCCATTTCTATTGAAAATACAGAAATTAGCTGAGTATGGTGGTGGGTGCCTGTAATTCCAGCTACTTGGGAGGCTCAGGCAGGAAAATAGCGTGAATCCAGGAGGCAGAGGTTGCAGTGAGCCGAGATCACACCACTGCACTCCAGCCTGGGCAACAAGAGCGAAACTCCTTCTCAAAAACAATGAGTTGCACTGCCTTTGGCTTCTCCAAGGCCCCGATTTCCTCAGTTCAGTTGGATGGACCGGTTGGCCGTAATACTGATAAAGGGATGTTCTGTCACTGGGGTGTTGGGGCAGCTGGGGTTCACCCTGCCCCAGAGCTCCGGCTAGAGGTGCTGGGAGTGACTGGAACTGAAAGGGAGGCTCAGGACAGTGACCCTCCCAAGATCGCAGAGGCATTCAGAGTGGAAGGGGCTCTGGGACACAGTATTAGGAAATGGGAGAAGCAGTTCTCACCCTCTTCCCTGCCCCTCCCCCAGAGCTGCTGCCCAAAGGAAGCAAAGAAGAACAGCGGGATTACGTCTTCTACCTGGCTGTGGGGAACTACCGGCTCAAGGTGAGGTGGGGCCCTCCTTCCCTTCACCCTCCTCTGGGGTAACCTCCTTACTGCTGTCCTCCAGGGCCAGGGAGGCTGAAAGGATGCAGAGGTGCGGAGCGGTGTCAGATCAGGACTCCGAGGGAAGATCAGAGTGCTGAGGGTGTGGGGAGGAAGGTGACGTCAAGAGGTTGGGTGCTGGCCCAAGCCTTGAAGCGTTATCTCCCTCAGAGTTGGGGTGGTTTCGTTTCTGGACTCTACTCCGTGGGGTGGGGCTGGAGGGAGGGGGGCGGGGGAGGTCGAGGGAGGAGCCCCCAGGGCTGAAGAAGGGAAGGTCCTTCAGGTGGGCAAGAGTTGTGGGGTATGGAGCTGTAGCTGGCCCAGTGGCTCACACCTGTAATCCCAGCTACTTGGGAGGTGGAGGCAGGAGGATTGCCTGAGCCTGGGAGTTTGAGGCTGCAGTGAGCTGCGATTGCGATGCTGCACTCCAGCTTGGCCAACAGAGTGAGACCCCATCTCTTATTTAAAATAAAAAAACCCTCGGGGGTGTGTCTAATGAGCGCGTTTCCCCAAGCATAGGAGTATGAGAAGGCTTTAAAGTATGTGCGAGGGCTGCTGCAGACAGAGCCGGAGAACAACCAGGCCAAGGAACTGGAGCGGCTCATTGACAAGGCCATGAAGAAAGGTGACAGCCTCGGCTCCTCCGTTCTACCCTCTCCTCCCCACGTGTGGGTGCTTTGGTCTCTCTGTAAATGAACCCCTCCAGGCAGCCCCTCCTCAGCCCCACCCCTTCCTGTTCTGAGAGTCCCTTGCCTTGCGACTCCAGGTAGGAGTGCACATCTATTGAGCAGGGCTGGCAGAAGGGGACAGTCAGGGTTCCTGCACGGGCAGGGTTCCTGACAGTGTCCCTTTCCTTCCCCAGATGGACTGGTGGGCATGGCCATCGTGGGCGGCATGGCCCTGGGTGTGGCAGGCCTGGCTGGACTCATCGGACTAGCTGTGTCCAAGTCCAAATCCTGAAGGACACGTGGGAGCCCGTGGAGGATGCTCCAGGAGGGCCTGTCTGTCCTTGCTGTCCCTTCCCTGTTCTCCCCCTGCACCCCTGTGTCTGTCCTCTGTGGCCTTTAACTAACTTCTGCTCCCCTGAGACCCCTCATCCTTCAGCCCCAAATCATGCGCTTTGGGGAGTGTGAATAAAACGGGGCTGTGGCTTGGGAACCTCTGTGTCTGCGTTGAGAGGGGGGTGGGTTCTGAACACAGGACACAAGGGACAGAGGTGCCACTCATGGTCCTTTCCTGCCCCTGCCCTCCAGGTTGGCACGGGCTTTATCCACTGAGCAGCCCAGAGCCCACACCCTTCCTCCCTTCCCTGAAGCCATATCCTTGAGAGTGCCGGGCAGCTCGAAGACACGGGGCTTTTCCGTGGTCCCGGAGTCCTGGGAGAAGGCAGTGACCTGAGCAGGAACGGGCAGAACTGTGGGGCCAGACTGGCCTCCTTTGACCCACTCAGCTGCCTCTCTGGGGTTTTCCACAGCAGGCCCCCCTTGGCTTCCTCCTCTCCCCCACCCTTCCCTCCCTTTGTCTTCCTGTGGCCTCCCCTTCCTCCTACCACCTCCTCCTCCAGGGAGGGGGGCCCTGTGGGGGAAGGAAACCTGCCTCTGGCACAGAGTAGGCAGCGGTCCCAGGAAAGGTCAGAGCCCAGGGCGCCCCAGCTCTCGCCTGTGGGCTGGAAGGTCAGGACCCAGCCCCACCTGGCCAGCCTCACCGCCTGGTGCCAGGCTCCGCATGGGCCTGTTTTGCTTCACTGCATACCTCTCGTTCCACAGGCCAGGCCAGCCTGGCTAGGGGTAGGGAGGAGTCACCTTAGGGGAGGCTGGAAGAGGCTGGAGGAGCCCAGTGGGGCCAGGTAGATGTGCAGGCAGTGCTGATGGCCCCCAGGGACTGAGCCCAAGGGAACCGGAGCAGGAGATGAGTGTCTGCCCTGCGACAGGTGCTCTGCACTGGCTCCAGATGGGGACCCAGAGGCTGCTAATCCATCATCATTTACGGATCGAGCCAGTGACAGTTGCTGATAACTGTGAACAGGTTGCAGAGCTCAGCCACAGGATCACGCTCCAAGCCGCTGGCAGCAGGACCAGGCTCGATGCTGAGTCAAAGATCAACTTAGGAGGAAATTGGAGTTTTGGGCGAGAACAACTCCCTGGTGGCCTCACACCCAGGACAGTCCCCAGAGCCGAGCAGGCAGCACTGTGGCGGGGGAGGGGGGCTTGAATCCCTGGTCCCAGTGAGGTCTTAGTGTGTTTCCCCGGCTGGTTCAAGCAGTCCTCTCAGCCCAGCCTCCCAAAGTGCTGGGATTACAGGCAAGAGCCGCTGCACCTGGCCCCTGGCCCCACTTTGCCCCACTGCCCATGCAGTGAGCAGTCAGGCCTGTCACTAACGGAGCAGAGGCAAGCTCAGGGGACTGAGACCCCTGGCTGAGTAGCCTTGGTGAATGAATTGGGGGCTAAGTTCCAGTCCAGGCTGGATGGAGCCCAGGGCTGTGTGTCTCCCAGCCTCCTGTCCCCTCATCCACATTCGTCTTCCTTAGAGATTCGAATGCCCCAACGCCTAGGTCTGCGAGTGTCAAATTGTTCTCACGGTCCCTCCATCCTTCTCCACTGAAGGCTGCTCTTCATTCTGTTTCTGTCATCTTTTCGCTCCTTGTCCCTCTTACTCTGTTCTCTGGCCCCCGATGAAAGCTGAGTCAGAGACAGACACTTCCCCTCAGTTCCCAATGCCTCCCTTGGGGGGGGCCCCTCCTTGGCCATATCCGTCTGTGGCTCCAGGGTAAGTCTGCCCCCCCACCCTCATGGGGCGGGGAGCTGGGGCAGCCCAGAGGCTGGGGGGAGGGAGTGGACTTTTGGCCCGTTTCGGTTATTCCCTCCATCTAGTCAACAGCTGCCTCGCAGGCTTAGCTCATTCCTCTGACCCGCCAGGAAGCGGAGAGACCCAGAGAGCAGGAGGGAGGCAGAAACCTGGAGGCAGAAAGTGGAGGCGGACCTGAGCCGGAGGAAGAGGAGGCAGAGGCTGAGGCCAATTCCACCCTAGCCTGCCCGGACACCTCCTTCTAGCCAAAGCCCCTGCCAGTTCCCTAGGGGTTCCGCCCCTCCCCCTCTCTGGGGCACTAGACCCCCGGGGCCCTGCATCCCACCATGTCGATGGCTGTGGAAACCTTTGGCTTCTTCATGGCTGCCGTGGGGCTGCTGATGCTGGGGGTGACTCTGCCAAACAGCTACTGGCGAGTGTCCACCGTGCACGGGAGCGTCATCACCACCAACACCATCTTCGAGAACCTCTGGTTTAGCTGTGCCACGGATTCCCTGGGCGTCTACAGCTGCTGGGAGTTCCCGTCTTTGCTGGCCCTTTCTGGTATGGGGTGGGGAGTGCTCTGGGGAGAGAGGGCAGTGGGGAAGCAGCAGAGACCCCCGGGGAGGGTGGGTGCCGCCCTGAGGATGCAAGGAGCCCTGGATTCAGCTCTGGGGGTCTGGGTTCCTGCAGTCAGGAGTGCTGGAGGCAGCCCCTGCCTGGAACTGGAGTGAAGACCTTGTCACACGTGGCCCCCTATGCTAGTGTGGCGCTTTTAGCAGTTATAGGTTCAGGCACCAGAATCAGACTTCTTCCCCGCTCTATGCCATTGGCAAGTGATGAAATGAGCTTCATCTTACCTGTGAGGTTAGGATGAGAGTCCCAGTTCACAGGTGCCCGAGAAAGTGCAAATGTTAACGTGAGGTTAACACACATAGGCACTCATACAGTCGAGCATGTTTTGGGGGTGGGATTGCTGGGGAGGGCAGGGTCGGGGGGCCCATCTTGGACTCTGGGAGATTGATGAACTTCCAGGCTCCACAGCCTCCCCAGCCTCACCGTCGGGGACACTGGCCTCCTTGTCCAGCTGACATCTAAAGGGCCCTGGTGAAGGGAGGCGTCTTGCAAGTTGCAGGCTGGGTGTCTGCTGTGAGGGGTGGTGTGCGTGCAGGTGTGTGGGGCTTCCAGGACGGGGTCTTTTCTGGGGTCTTAGAGGGCTGGAGCCAACAGCTGTTCGGGGCCAGGGCAGTTCTTTCTGCGGCTGCAGCACCTCCCACTCCCTGCTCACCCCCTAGGATGAGGACGCCCCACTGTTGCCCAGGGCAGTCTCCCCTCGGTCTGATTCTATGCCAGAGACAGCCCTGGCATCTGTGAACTGCACAAAGTGCTGCTCCATGCCCTCCTGAGTCCTTTGGGGCCAGCCTGCTCTCCAGGCACCGCGTGGCAGGGAGGGCACTGAGGGCAATGTTGCATATGAAGTGGGGCTTAGAGAAACCGCCCCCAGGGATGTTGGAGCTGCTCTGAGCAGTCAGGGGGTCTGAGTGGGTCTCCTGTGCCCCCACTACACCCAGCCCCTCCTGGGAAGCACAGGCAAAGGCTGTGTGTTTTCCTCCTCCTCTCCAGGACTGACTGCAGAGCAGGCGCCCCCTCCCCGCTGAGTACAAACCTGGGCCAGAAGCCCAGAGTGCTGAGTGGCCAGAAGGGGCACTGGAGGTAGCCCCGACATCCACTCCTCAGATACCCCATGCTATGGGGAGGGGGCTCTGCTTGTGAGCCTGCATGCCCAAGAGGGCCCCCCTTGGGGACCACATGAAAGACGGTGCCATAGTCCCCAGGGCATGGGGTAGAGGGTGGTGGGGTTCCAGGCCTTGGGATAGGTGGTTCTGTCTATGTTATTTCCACCATGGGGAGGTGGGGGGAACCGTTACAGAAGCTGAAAGGCCTTGGCAAGGTGGAGCACCCCACCCCAAATCTCACAGGCAGGAGAGGGGACTCAGACTCCACAGCAGGTGTGGTCCTGGGAGACGGACCTGACTGCATCTCCCAAAGGTGCACCCCAATCCCTGCCACACTGTCCATGTGCCCTCAGGCCCTTCCAGAGTCTCTCCTTTGATTCCAGAGCTACCTGGGGACTCACAGCCGTGTCAGCCCCAGAGGGAGTGGCTGGAGGAAGAAAGTTCTCCTGGAGAACTTTGCCCCTCCTGCCTACCCCCCGACTCTGCACCCTTCATCTCCTGCCAGGGGCCACCAACGGTTATGCCCCACCCAGAAAAGGGGTGCAAGGTCCTTGGCAGTGCTTGGCAACTATCAAAGACAGAGAAGGGAGGAGAAGGGAGAGGCCAGAGAGGGAACCAGCAGCCTCCAGCTCTGAGAAAAGGGAAACTGAGGCACTGAAAGACAGCTAGACTGCCAGGATCAGTCCTGGGCCCAGGTATCCCACCTTCCAGGTCAGAAACCCAACCGGGTGTGGTGGTCCACGCCTGTAACCTAAGCTCCCCTGGAGGCTGAGGCAGGAGGATCACCTGCACCCAGGAGTTCAGGGCTGCAGGGATGAGCTGTGGTGGCGCCACTACACTCCAGCCCGGGCGACAAAGCAAGACCCTGTCTCTAAAACTGCCCTAGGCTGGGTGTGGTGGCTCACGCCTGTAATCCCAACACTTGGGGAGGCCGAGGCAGGTGGATCACAAGGTCAGGAGTTTGAGACCAGCCTGGCCAACATGTTAAAACCCCATCTCTACTAAACATACAAAAAATTAGGTGGGTGTGGTGGCATGTGTCCACAATCCCAGCTACTTGGGAGGCTGAAGCAGGAGTATCACTTGAATCTGGGAGGCAGAGGTTGCAGTGACTGAGATTGCACCATTGCACTCCAGTCTGGGTGACAGAGACTTTAAAAAAAAAAAAGAAAAAAAATACTTGCCCGAGACCCTCTGCTGTACAGCACTGCTGCCCTTTACCCGTTATTCCAGGAAGAAGCCAGGGTCAAAGTATCCAGCACTGTGCTAGGCACTTGAGGAAGACGTGGAGTGAAGTCATGGGGAAGGTGACAGCGGTGCTCGGCTGTGGTTCTGTAATACCCAGCAACACAAGAGCAACTCGATAGAGCCGTGGTTCTCAGCGGGCTGACTGCACAGTGATTGTCACAGCTTGTGGGGAGTGGGTTGCTACTGGCACCCCATGGTAGAGGCCAGGGAGGCTTCTGAATATCCCACAGTGCCCAGGATGGCCCCCAGAACAAAGAGTTACCCAGCCTAGGTGTTGGGAGTGCCCAGGAGAAAGCCTGTAACCCAGGCACAAGCAAAGTGTGCCAGGTGCATGGGAGGAGTGGGGAGCAGGGCAGGAGGGGCCCATATGCCTAAGGAGGGAAGGGTGACTGCAGCTGGGTAGGTTGGAGGAGCCCAGGGGAACGAGAGGATTTGGGGACTGTTAGGTACAAGAGCAAGCAGGTGAGGGGGGCCGGGCGCAGTGACTCATGCCTGTAACTTTTCGAAGCCAAGATGTGCAGATCACTTGAGGTCAGGAGTTTGAGACCAATCGACAACATGGTGAAACCCTGTCTCTACTAAAAATACAAAAATTAGCCAGGCATGGTGGTGCATGTCTGTATTCCCAGCTACTGGGGAGGCTGAGGCAGTGAGCTCAGAATGTGTTACTGCACTCCATCATGGGTGACAGACTGAGACTCCATCTCAAAAAGAAAAAAAGATATTGAGGGTGTTGGGCTGGCTCCATCACAGAGGGGTGAAAAGACGGGAAAGGCTGATGACTGTGCCCCCACCCCCAGGGTATATTCAGGCCTGCCGGGCGCTCATGATCACCGCCATCTTCCTGGGCTTCCTCGGCCTCTTGCTAGGCATAGTGGGCCTGCGCTGCACCAACATTGGAAGCCTGGAGCTCTCCAGGAAAGCCAAGCTGGCGGCCACCGCAGGTGCCCTCCACATCCTAGCCGGTAACTGGGGGAAGGTGATGGGGCGGGGGTCCCCCTGGGCCGCAGACTCCAGGCTGCTTTGTCCTCACCTCATCTCCAATTCCCACTCCTCACGCTCGCCTCCCCTAGCCCGCTGTTCGGATACCTGCTCACCTCTCCCTCATCCATACTCCCCAGATCCCTTGGCTGCAAATCAGCCCAACCTCAGTGTTTCTTGAGCTTCCAGCCTGTGCCAGGTGTGGGAGGGACTTCAAAGATGACAGTGAGCGGCTGCCTCTGGGAGCTTGCACTTTGGCTGAGGAGCAGAGGTAGGGCGCACACTACTGCACACTGTACAACCACAGTGCCATACCACTGGGCGTGTGGCTTGTGCCTGTAATCCCAGCACTGGGAGACCGAGGCAGACAGATCACAAGGTCAGGAGATCGAGACCATCCTGGCCAACATGGTGAAACCCCCTCTCTACTAAAATACAAAAAAAAAAAAAAAAAAAAAAAAAATTAGGCGTGGTGGTGGGCACCTGTAGTCTCAGCTACTTGGGAGGCTAAGGCAGGAGAATCGCTTGATCCTGGGAGGTGGAGGTTGCAGCAAGCTGAGATTGCACCACTGCACTCCAGCCTGGTGACAGAGCAAGACTCTGTTTCAAAAAAAGCCAGACATGGCGGGCACCTGTAGTCCCACCAACTCAGAGGCTGAGGCAGGAGAGTCACTTGAACCTGGGAGACAGAGGTTGCAGTGAGCTGAGATCATGCCACTGCACTCCAGCCTGGGCAACAGAGCAAGACTGTCACACACACACATGCACGCACACACACACGCACGCACGCACACACACACGCACGCACACACAGCCAAGGTGGGAGAACTGGCTTGAGCCCAGGAGTTCCAGACCAGCCTGGGCAGCATAGTGATACCCTGTCTCAGCAAAACACATTAACACCATCTGGCTGTGGCTTTTCAGTTTGCAGAACATTCCTTCACCATTGCCTCACAATAAGCCTTTGAGGTAGGGTGGGTACTGCCCTGTTTTCCAGAGGTGAAACAGGCCCAGAAAGGTGAGGTGGCTTGCAAGAGGACAAGCTCCCAGTGAGTGGGGTGGTGCTAGCCTGGGGGTCTGCCTGGCTTCAGGAAAGGACAACCCTGGGCTCCCAGGGCACCAGCTGGGCTTTCAAGAGTGGTCGGGATTTGGATGGGGCTCTGGGTGAGGAGATGATGGAATGAAGGCCCTAGAAATGGGCATGAACTAGGCAGGTCTGGGACCGAGGACAGGCAGGAAGAGGTCGAGGTAGTGGGAGATGAGTAGGGTGGGCTGGAGCCTGAGGGCTACCCTCAGAATTTGACCACAGGAAGGAGGAAGGCTTATAAGCTGGGCGGGGAGAAATGACTGAGTTAAATTGCTGCTCTTGGACTTGGTGCCCCCATCTGACTCCGGACAGCCCCTGCCTGCCTCTCCCACAAAGCCTCCTCGCCCATTATCCCTCCCCCTGGCCTGGGGTCATCCTCCTGCCCCCAGGTATCTGCGGGATGGTGGCCATCTCCTGGTATGCCTTCAACATCACCCGGGACTTCTTCGACCCCCTGTACCCTGGAACCAAGTGAGTGAGGGAACTCACCCTTGGGGCAATGGGTGGGACTCAGCCCTGCCCACCGAGCTGGCACCTCACGGTGCCCCCCACCCCCGCGCCGCCCTTGTGCGCAGGTACGAGCTGGGCCCTGCCCTCTACCTGGGCTGGAGCGCCTCCCTGATCTCCATGCTGGGCGGCCTCTGCCTTTGCTCCACCTGCTGTTGTGGCTCTGATGAGGACGCCGAGCGGGGTTGGGGAGAGGGCGGCACCCCAGCTGTGACCGGAGCCCCGCCCCGCAGCGCCCGGCTGCCTTACGGGGCTCCACTGTCCGTGAAGCCCGTCGCCACCTCGGACCAAGAAGACGACAGCAGCTTTGACAAATACGGCAAAAACGCCTACGTGTAGCAGCTCTGTCCCGTGAACCCCACTGTCCTTCTCACTGCCCCACAGAGAGGTCCTGGCCGGGGCCCATTCCCCTGTAGCAACTTCAGGGGCCGGCCACGCCACGCACCCGGAGCCACGCCCCTACAGGCCACGCCCCCCCCATTGGAGCCTCGCTCCGACCACGCTCCTGCCAGGCCAAGAACCTCTCTTGGGAAGTCGCATGCCCCCCTGAGGCTGGATCCCTCATCTTCTGAGCCTGGGCTCTGGGCTGTGAAGGGGGTGGAGTGTCCTCGCACGTTTGTATTCTGTATAAATACTAACAAATTTATATTGTGACCGTTCAGGCTTGAGGGTGTCAGAAGCGGCCGGCCAAGCCAAGCCAAGGCGTGGGGGGTGGGACCAGGGGTCGGTTCAGGTCTCGGACCCCAGACTGTTACCCTGTCCACCACTTTGGGGCCGTGTCATACAGCAAAATAGAAGAGGGGTTGCAAACGATTTCGCGAGTGGCACATAATTGCTGATAAGAGTCACCAAGGAGCAGATCCCGGAAGCCCCACTTCAGGAAACAAAATAGCAGAGATGGCCCCTGGCCAGCCTGAGATCCCGAGCCGCTCCTTTCACTCACCTCGGCCAGTCTAGAGCGGAGCTGCGTGCCCTGGGCCTGAGCGTGGATGGATACCACGAGTGATAAGGCTCTTGAAATTCTTTTCCACATTAACTGGGACTGGCGCAGGGACATTTCTCCGGGGAAGATGTAGCACCTTCCAGAAGTCTCTGGAGGTCCGTTTGGGGGGGGGGGGGTCTGTGTGCACCTCGGTGGTGTCCAGCTCAGATACGGTGCTGGGTTGTGGGTGGGTTTGGTGCAGGCCCTGTGGGTACTGACCTCAGAGCCGCACCCGCTTAAGAGGTCACAGGCTGGGCTCGGCACCTCACCCCTGTAATCCCAGCACTCTGGAAGGCTGAGGGCTGGGAGGAGTTCGAGACGAGCCTGGCCATATGGTGAAACCCCTTCTCTACTAAGAAAATACAAAAATTAGCCAACCATGGTGGTGTGCACCTGTAGTCCCAGCTACTCAGGAGACTGAAGTGGGATGGTCACTTGAACCCAGAAGTTGGAGGCTGTGACTGAACCACTACACTCCAGCCTGGGTGATAGAGAGAGATCCCGACCCCCCCAAAAAAAGAAAAAAGACAATGAGGCCACTAGGAAGAAGCCTGATGTCCAGTAAATAGGGGAATGGAGCCCGATCCCAGCACTATCCTCTGCAGCACTGACAAGTGGCCAGTCCCTTGGGGACCCCTGGATTCTGAGTGCAGCACCTCCCTTTCTCCTTCATCTCATTCATTCACCCTCAGCAACCCTCTCCTGGGATGAAGAGAACTGCATCCACATTCCATCTGTGCCTCTCCCGTACCTCAGAAGTACATGCATGCTCCCACCAGGTGGGCTCCAGACACATCGAATTCATCACTATTCCCAGAGCTCCAGTTCCCATCATCCCTGTCACAAGCATGGCCAACCTCTCTGTCTGCAGATGGACAACCTCTCCCTTTCTCTGCTCCTCTGTTCATTCCCAAATCATTTCAATTCACCCTCTACGGTGTTTTTCACATCCATCCACTTCTCTCCCTTCTCCACTGCCTGGTTCTGGGGCAGGCCCTCATCCTTTCCTGCCCTCCCACTGGGGGTCTCAAGTGTGGCCTTCCCAATGCACTCCTGGAGGACCACTGACCGCCCTTCCTTGGCAGCTCCTGGCATTGGCGGAAGAAAGCCCCAGTTATGAACTTGACACGCCGCCTGGCCCTAGCCCACCTTTCCATCTCCATTGCTCCCGTTCCTCTAGATAACTTGTGCTCCACCATTACACCGGGCTGCTTCCTAGGCCCTGGACTGCACTCCAGCTAGAAACACTGGTGCCTTTTCGTTTTTTATATAGAAGTCTCACTCTGTCTCCCAGGTGGCTGGCGTGTAGTGGAGTGATCTTGGCTCACTGCAACCTCTGCCTCCTGGGTTCCAGCGATTCTCCTGCCTCACCCTCCCGAATAACTAGGATTACAGGTGTGCACCACACCTGGCTAATTTTTGTAGTTTTAGTATAAACTGGGTTTCACCATGTTGGCCAGGCTGGTCTCAAACTCCTGGCCTCAAGTGATCCACCCGCCTCAGCCTCCCAAAGTGTCAGGATTACAGGCATGAACCACAGTCCCACCAAATTACGGTTTTCAATGGGGGTCTAGAGACCCTGGACTCAGCGTCCTAGAGGATGTAAATGGATGGAATCAGAGAGCAACCAGAGGCCCTTAGGGTCCAGCTCTGTCCTCTCAAGGTCGTTTTGGAAGGCGGAGTGCATTACTTGGGAGAGAAATCTTACACTGAGCGGAACCAATGTGCCTCTTTTTATAACCACAAAATATGAAACAGTCAGCTAAGTTAGGAAAGAATCCAAAGAGATTGTGCTGACGGTGCAAGCTGACGGGAATCCCAGCCTAGGACATCAGGGAGAAGCACAGATGGTGTCATTCAGCCCCAAAATAGTTTTTTTTTAGAGATGGAGTCTCGCTCTGTTGCCCAGGCTGGAGTGCAATGGCACAATCTTGGCTCACTGTAACCTCTGCCTCTGGGTTCAAGCGATTCTTCTGCCTCAGCCTCCTGAGTAGCTGGGGTTACAGGTGCCTGCCACCATGCCAGGCTAAATTTTATATTTTTAGTATAGATGGGGTTTCATCATGTTGGCCAGGCTATTCTCGAACTCATGACCTCAGGTGATCCACCCACCTTGGCCTCCCAAAGTGCTGGGATTACAGGTGTGAGCCACCGCACTGGTCTCTGAAATAGTCTTTTCTACTTCTATTTTCTCACTGGAGTGTACTTGTTGGCAGAGAGGATAAAAGCAAGCTTGTCCCACCTGTAGCCCATATGCGCCCTACGATGGCTTTGTATGAAGCCCAATACAAATTCGTAAACTTTCTTAAAACATTATGAGATATTTTTGCAATTTCCTTTTCTTTTTTGAGCCAGGGTATCACTCTGTCATCCGGACTGGAGTGCAGTGGCACAATCTTGGCTCACTGCAACCTCCTCCTCTCAGGCTCAAGTGAGTCTGCCTCAGCCTCCAGAGTAGCTGGGATTACACACACATGCCACCATGCCCAGCTAGTTTTTGTATTTTTAGTAGAGACGGGGTTTCACCATGTTGGCCAGGCTGGTCTTGGACTCCTGACCTGAAGTGATCTGCTCACCTTGGCCTCCCAAAGTGCTGGGATTACAGCTGTGAGCCACTGCACCCAGCCACTTTTCAATGGGAGGGCAAAGAATTTTGAGCCATTTTGAAAAACCACCTCACTGGGATTCTCTCTGAATCCTGACATACACCCCCTCCAAAACGAAGCTGACACCAAATCCAGTCCCATGTTCCCAGCTGCAAATCTTCAGAGAAATGGAAAGCAGTTCCTCAAAAAAACACCAAAACACCGGGAATACTTGAGCCAGTCCCCAGGAAAGTGCCCAAAAGTGAAGGCCTAAGACAGTGACCGGCCAGGTATGGTGGCTCTCACCTGTAATCCCAGCACTTTGGGAAGCTGAGGTAGATGGATCACCTGAGGCTGGAAGTTCATAACCAGCCTGGCCAATATAGTGAAACCCCGTCTCTACAAAAAATTAGCCAGGCATGGTGGTGTGCACCTGTAATCCCAAGATACTCAGAAGGCTGAGGCAGGAGAATCCCTTGCACCTGGGAGGTGGAAGTTGCAATGAGCTGAGATGGCACCACTGCACCCTATAGCCTGGGTAACAGAGTGAGACTCCATCTCAGAAAAAAAAAAAAGATGTGCCTCATGTCGACTTTGCTGGATCCCACTAGTATCTTAATGAAGCCATCTGTTCAACAGATACTTACAAAGCACTTGCTTTGCTATGAGGTTAACAGGGTTCTGGGCATTAATACAGCAACCAAAAGGAGCTTACGAGATTATAGCTTGCAATCCATTTAGACAAGGTGTGGGTATAGGAAGTTCACATGAGGCTGGGCACGGGGGCTCACCCCTGTAATCCCGGCACTTTGTGAGGCTGAGGCAGGCAGATCACCTGAGGCCAGGAGAGAAACCCTGTCTCTACTAAAAATACAAAATCAGCCGGGCATGGTGGCACATGCCTGTAGTCCCAGCTACTCAGGAGGCTGAGATGGGAGGATCTCTTGAGCCCAGGAGTTCTGGGCTGTAGTGCGCTATGCTGATCGGGTGTCTGCACCAAGTTCAGCACCAATATGGTGACCTCTCAGGAGCAGGGGACCACCAGGTTGCCTAAGGAGGGGTGAACCGAAATGGAGGTCAAAACTCTCATGCTAATCAGTAGTAGGATTGTGCCTGCACGCCAGCCTGGGCAACATAGTGAGACCCAGTCTCTAAATAAATAAATAATCTCATAATGGTCGGGCACAGTGGCTCACACCTATAATCCCAGACTTTGAGAGGCCAAGGTAGGTGGATCACCTGAGGTTGAGAGTTCAAGACCAGCCTGACCAACATGGAGAAACCCTGTCTCTTCTAAAAAAATACAAAAAAAAAATTAGCCGGGCGTGGTGATGGGTGCTTGTAATCAGAACTACTCAGGAGGCTGAGGCAGGAGAATTGCTTGAACCTGGGAGGCGAAGGTTGCAGTGAGCCAAAATCGCGCTCTGGGACTCTGTCTCAAAATAAATAAATAAATCGAGTGGGACTCTGTCTCAAAATAAATAAATAAATAAAATTGCAAAAGAATCTCATAATGTTCTGAGAAAGTTTACAAATTTGTGTTGGGCTGCATTCAAAGTCACCTCGGGCCACATGCGGGCCGCGGGCTGTATAAGTTTGAGCTAAACCATGAATTCCCCATGTTTCCCAGAAACTTCTGGGCTTTCTGTATTGCTAATAACTTCACATACTGCAGCCCCTGGTAATAGGGGTTTCCTAAGGACAACTGCTCCCTCAGACCCACGGCACCAAGGTCAAGGACCTGACAACTCCCCTTTGCTTAAGTATCTTAAGACAAAGACAGACCCAACCCTCTCCACAGTTCCATTCTGCACCCGTTCCACAGCCCTCCTGCCATCTCTCTGTCACCCAGCCCTGGAACCTAGCTGTACTTTGAAAATATAGCAACTGGAGAAATAAAAAGGTGAAACATGGCTGGGCACAGTGGCCCATGCCTATAATCCCAGCACTTTGGGAGGCTGAGGCAGGCGGATCACCTGAGATTGGGAGTTCAAGACCAGCCTAGTGAACAAGTCAAAACTCCGACTCTACTAAAAATATAAAAAAATGAGTTGGGCGTGGTGTCGGGCACCTGTAATCCCAGATACTCAGGAAGCTGAGGCAGGAAAATCCCTTGAACCTGGGAGGTGGAGGTTACAGTGAACTGAGACCCCACCACTGTACTCCAGCCTGGGCGACAGAAATGGATTTATTACAGAATGAGACCCTGTCTGTAATAAATAAAACAGTTTAAACAACTAAATCAATAAACAAAAAGACTTACAGAAGCAGCCAGGAGGGCAGGGGCTTGGGGATGGCAGAATGGGACACAGAGGGGTGGACAGTGGCAGGGTGAGTGGCAGGCAGGAGGAAGAGAGACAGAGCCGCAAGCAGGAGAGACAGGTGACCCATCACCGTCACCTCCAAATGTGCCATGACCAAACAGGCAGGCTCTCGGCACGAGGCTTTTTATTCTAACAGCACTGGGCGGGCCCCGCCCACCTGGCAGACGGTTCCTGGAGTGAGACTGGTCTTTCCTAGCAGGTAAGACACAGTTTTGTTGGGTGAATGAGTGGCTCCTCTCTTGGTCCGGGGAGAGCCCCCTCCATTGGGCAATGCACAGCGGCCCTTCCTCTCTGGGAATGCCCAGGCTCACACGGTCCACTTCAGACACCTGCAGACAGAGAGGGAGCCAGGATGAGGGAAGAGGTCTGGGGAGGCTGTGGGAAGGAGGGAGTGGGGAATGAACGGCAGGTTCCAAGCTCACCTGGTCTCCTGGTGGGTCCCCAGACAGCGCACAGTACAGTACCGGGCACCACAGCTGACACAGGTGTAGGGGGAGGGGAAGCCGCACACAGCACAGAAGGGGCGCTGGGGCCGCGAGGGGGGCCCCGCACAGGCTGTCAGGTAGTTGGGGCCCTCGGCCACACTCAAGTTCTGCAGAGACAAGGGGCCAGCTCTAGGACTCCTCCTCCCACCTGAGCAGCAAACACCTGCCGGGGCCAGGCTCACCCCTGCCCTGGGGGCGTCCTCCCAGGCCAACCCTCGTCTCACCTGCTCCTCCAGCAGGGCCTGAAAGTTTTTTCGGAAGCGAAGTTTAAAATGATCACCTCGAGTTTTCTTCTTTTTCTTTCCTAGGGGTCAAGGGCGATCAGCTGCATGGCACTTGCCCAGAAAGACAGCAGCTTTCTCTGGTTATCACTCCCCATGCCCACGTGCCCTCCTGGTTCTTTTTTTGAGACAGAGTCTCACTCTGTCACTCAGGCTGCAGTGCAGTGGTGCAATCGCAGCTCACTGCAACCTCCACTTCGCAGGTTCAAGTGATTCTCTTGCCTTGGCATCCCAAATAGCTGGGATTACAGGCGTCCACCACCACACCTGGCTAATTTCTTTTTTTTGTATTTTTAGTAGAGATGGGGTTTCATCATGTTGGCCAGGCTGGTCTTGAACTCCTGACTGCCCACCTCAGCCTCCCAAAGTGCTGGGATCACCGGTGTGAGCCACTGCACCCGGCCCTGCCTTCCTGGCTGTAAGTTGGCCCCTTGCTACTAGCCACTGACCTCCACCCCAGTTCTCCAATCCCAGCCGACCGTAACCTCCATGCCCCTAAACCTAAGGCTTCATGTCAGAGCTCATCCAGTCTCTCTTGTTTATTTCACATACACGAGAGGAAACTGAGGCACAGAAAGGGGGTGTGGTTGCTCATAGCCACAGGAGCCAGTCACCAGCAGAGGCACCAGGAGCTCCTGGGTCCTCCCACCGCCAGAGTTGGGCAGACTCTCCCCCTTCCCCACAGTCCCGCCCCCACTTCCTCCTCCACCTGACTCACCGGTGTCCGCATCGTCATCGAACTGAGGCAGCCTCTTGCCGAGCTGAGGGAGTCCTGCGTGGGGATCATCCTGGAAGTTGTCATTCTCCAGGGCCTCCAGCTGCCGGTTGATGCGACGCTGCCGGGCGGCCCGGTCCAGCACCCGCCGCTGCCCAGGGTCCTGGGAACGGACTGGATGGGGCAGGGCCCACAAAGTTACAGGGGTTCCAGGAAAGAGGAGCGGCTCGGCCATGGCTCTGGGTAAGGCGAGGAAGGCACCCAGGGTGGGAGCCACAGCACTCTGACCTCATCCCCATCACCAAGCCCTCAATCCCCGTCTCCTCCCGGGCCAGCCCCCAGCCCATGCTTCCTGTCCCGCCAGCTGAGACTCTTTCAGTCTCTCTCGCCTGTTTTCTCCGCCTTCCTCCCAATCCCAGTCCCAGCCAGTGAGACCCCTCCTGGAGACAGCTGACTGCCGACAGGGGAGGCCACGGCGCCCGCCCTTGGGGCTTCCAGGCTATCCTGGGCCCTCAATGCACATGGCCCTCATGCTCAGCAGCTCATCTCCCACCTCAGAGGAACCAGGGGCCACCCACACTTGGACGCGCTCATCTTCCAGGCCACCCACCCGAAAATGTGGTGCCAAGCGGGCACACCCCTGCCCCGGGGCCCCCCAAGTCCCACCACTGCACCTAAGCTTTCCCCTGCAGCCCATTCCCTTCCTCTCCCACCTTCAACCCCTCCTCCTCAACTGGCACTTTACTTTCCATGAAAAACCTGGCGACACTCATGGGTCTACCACTTCACAGCTCCTCCTTCAGAGTAATAATCCACAAGACGTGTCGCTTCTTCACCTCCCACCCTCTCCTTGACACCCCAAATCTGAATATCCAAGGGGACCACCCACACTCCAGGCACAGATGCCCTCCTCGGAGCCACTCCCGGGGTGCCTTCCTGGCCTCCTCCTCGGACCTGAGCCCTGTCCACCCTGTGCCGGTGCTGACTACCTTCATCGAGTAGAAAGAGACCCTTTGCTTGCTTCCTTGAAAAGATTGCGGGGATTCTCCATGTCCAGTAATGCTGCTCAGGCTCCAGCTCGGCTGCTGCCCTGCCTCTACGGAGGTGGCTGGCCCTCTTCTCTGCTCAGTCTACGCACTCTTCCTGGGATTTCGACTCTAAACAAAGGGCTCTGATGATCACCCACAAGCAAATGACTCCCAGAGCAATTCCCTCAACCCAGAACCCGCTCCCAGGCTCCACAAAGGGCCGTGCAGCGGCACCTGTTGAGCCGGGCATGGTGGCACACACCTGTAACCTCAGCACTTCGGGAGGCCAAAGTGGGAGGATTGCTTGATGCCAGGAGTCAGAAACCAGCCTGGGCAGCATAGCCAAACCCCATCGCTACAAAAAATTAAAAAATGAGCCAGGCCTGTTGCACATGCCTACAGTCCCAGCTACTCGGGAGGCTGCGGTGGGAGGATTACGTGAGCCGGAGAGGTTGAGGCTGCTGTGTGCAGTGCTGTGATCACGCCACTGCCCTCCAGCCTGAGTGACAGAGCAAGACTCCAAAACAAACAAACAACAACAACAAAAATCAAAACGAAAAAAGAAATCATCTGCTGGCCCCACTGAAACTCAAAGTTTTTCCATCCAGGTCTGCTCCTGCCTTTTCTCAAGGCAAATGGAACCATCTACACAGACATCCGAACCAGAAGCCTAGAAGCTATTTTCAACCTCTTTCCGAGGCCAGCACAGCAACTCACGCCCGTAATCCCAGGGCTTTGGGAGGCTGAGGCAGGCAGATCACTTGAGCTCAGGAGTTTGAGACCAGCCTGGCCAACATGGCGAAACCCGTCTCTACGAAACACAAAAATTGGCCAGGTGTGGTGGCGGGCGCCTGTAATCCCAGCGACTTGGGAGGCTGAGGCACAAGAATTGCTTGAACCTGGGAGGCAGAGGTTGCAGCGAGCTGAGACAGCGCCACTGCACTCCAGCCTGAGAGACAGAGTGAGACCCTGTCTCAAAAAACAAAAACCCACTTTCCTCATTGCCTTAGCAGCTATTCACCAGGTTCTGTCATTTTACATAATATAGCTCTTTATTCATTAAACAAATATGAAGCAGCTGTTAACCATAATCACAGCAGCAGCAGCTCTAGTAGCTATTGCTTGTGGGGCACTCGCTATGAGCCAGGCACCATGCTCAGCTCTTTGCATAACTTGAACCATTTAACCCTTACAACAGCCGTGTGGGACAGTACCGTTAACATCCAGTTTACCAGCATTCAGAGATTAAGAAATGTGTCCAAAGTTCACACAGCTAGCAAGTGGCCAGGTCAGAATCCAAAGCACCGCACAGCATCAAACAGCATGACGTGGCCGGCGCGGTGGCTCACGCCTGTAATCCCAGCACTTTGGGAGGCCAAGGCGGGCAGATCAAGAGGTCAAGAGATCAAGACCATCCTGGCCAACATGGTGAAACCCCATCTCTACTAAACAATACAAAAATTAGCTGGGTGTGGTGACGCGAGCCTGTAGTCCCAGCTACTTGGGAGGCTAAGGCAGGAGAATTGCTTGAACCCAGGAGGCGGAGACTGTAGTGAGCCGAGATTGCACCATTGCCCTCCAGCCTGGAGACAGAACAAGACTCTGTCCCCCCCCGCCCCCCCAAAAAAAGAGCATGACCTTCCCAGGCACAGTGGCTCACACCTGTAATCTCAGGTTACTGGGAGGCTGAGGTGGGTGGATCCCTTGAGCCCAGGAGTTCGAGGCCAGCCTGGGCAACATGGCAAAACCCCATCTCTACAAACAAATACAAAAATTAGCCAGGCATGGTTGCACACACCTGTGGTCCCACCTATTCGGGAGGCTGAGGTGGGAGGATGGCTTGAGCCCAGGAGCTCAAGGCTGCAGTGAGCCATGTTTGTGCCACTGCATGCCAGCCTGGGTGACATAGCAAGACCCTGTTCCAAAAAAAAAACCAAGGTGGAGTGCCTTGGCTCACACCTGTAATCCCAGCACTTTGGAAGGCTGAGATGGGTGGATCACCTGAGGTCAGGAGTTCAAGACCAGCCTGGCCAACATGGTGAAACCCCATCTCTACTAAGAACACAAAAAATTAGCCAGGCGCGGTGGCGTGTGCCTGCAATCCCAGCTACTCAGGAGGCTGAGGCAGGAGAATCACTTGAACCTGGGAGGCGGAGGTTGCAGTGAGCTGAGATTGTGTTACTGCACTCCAGCCTGGGTGAGTCCATCTCAGAAAAAAAAAAAAAAAACCACCATGATCTTGATCACTGTACTACTCTGTCTCCATTCCAAACGCCAGACAGTGCTCTGGGTTCTGGGGTGCAAAGGCTTTCAGTCTGGTGGTAAACACAACTAATTAATCAACCAACACAGCAAGTAGAGCATGGGGCAGGCTGGGATACAGAGTCTAAAGTGCTGCAGAGCCCAGGCCAGAATCACCCAATCTGGCTTTGGAGTAGTCAGGGCAGACTTCCCAGAAGAAGGAGTCTAGGTTAATGCCTCCCTGGCGAATGGCCTGGCCAGGGGAGACAGCAGGGAGTTTCAGGCCTCGAGGTCGCCATGAGAAAGTCATGGCTGGGAGACTGCGGTGCCTTTGAAAAACTTAAAGGGCCAAGCACAGTGGCCCATGCCTGTAATCCTAGCATTTTGGGAGACCGAGGCAGGAGGATCACCTGAGCTCAGGAGTTCAAGACCAGCCTGGACAACACAGTGAGACACCTATCTCAACAAAAAATATAAAAACTAGCCCAGCATGGTGGCCCGCACTCACCTGAGGTCCCAGCTACTCAGGAAGCTGAGGTGAGAGGATCACTTGAGTATGGGGAGGTTGAGGCTGCAGTGAGCTATACAGAACCACTTCATTCCAGCCTGGGTGACAGAGTAAGACGGTATTTAAAAAGAAAAAAAAGCCTTTGCTGCTGGGTGCGGTGGCTCACAACTGTAATCCCAGCATTTTGGGAGGCCAACATGGGTGGATCATAAGGTCAGGAGTTCAAGACCAGCCTGGCCAACATAATGAAACCCCGTCTCTACTAAAAATACAAAAACCAGCCAGGCATTAGTGGCGTGTGCCTGTAGTCCCAGCTACTCAGGAGGCTGAGGCAGGAGAATCTCTTGAACTTGGGAAATGGAGGTTGCAGTGAGCTGAGATCGCACCATTGCACTCCAGCCTGGGCTACAGAGTAAAACTTTGTCTCAAAAAAAAGTCCCGGCACAGTGACCTCACAGCTCATGTGAGATCAGGAGACCAAGACCATCCTGGCTAACATGATGAAAGCCCATCTCTACAAAAAAAAAAAAAAAAAAAATTTAGCTGGGCATGGTGGTGGCATGCGCCTGTAATCCCAGCTACTCGGGGGGGTTGAGACAGGAGAATTGCTGGAACCTGGGAGGTGGAGGTTGCAGTGAGCCAAGATCACACCACTACACTGCAGCCTGGGCTATAGAGCAGACTCCATCGAAAGAAAGAAAGAAAAGGAAGAAAGAAAGATAGGAAGGAAGGAAGGAAAGAAAAGAAAGAAAGAAGAAAGAAAAAAAGCAAGCCTTTGCTGGCTCTCCACTGCCTCCCCACAGAGTTCAAACTCCTGGGCAGTGCCTATAATGCCTTTAAAAATGTAACCTTTCCGCAGCCTTCCACGCTTTCTTATTACTCTGTAAGATCCAAACTGCAGACTTGGCTTCCTGAGCGACTTGCTTTTTCTTGCTTTACTGCCTTTGCACGTGAGGTTCCCACTGTGAGAAACCCTAACTACACTTTCAAGACTCAATTCAAGCTTTTTCGCTTTTCCTTCCAAGCTTTCACTGTCCCCTCCCCCCGAGAAGCTGGGCTAGATGCCACTCCTCCCTGTTCCGAGGCGCTGTGCCCCCCACTGCCATAGCACATATTACAGTGAAACGCAGTGGCAGGTCTGCGTGTCTGTCCCCATTCCAGAAAGCCAATGCTTGGATAACAGAAGTCTCTCTCCTCTTCATCCCCAGCGCCTGGCTTGGAGCAAGCATCAATAAAACGTGATGAAGGGTCAACGCCAGGACTCGAGGGCTGGGGAAGGGATTTAAGAGGAATAGCTGGGCCGGGCGCGGCATCCCAGCACTTTGCAAGGCCGACGCGGAGGATCGCTTGAGGCGAGTTGGAGACCAACCTGCGCAACATAGCGAGAACCCGTTAATACAAAAAAAATTAAAAATTAAAAATTAAAAATTAGCCAGGCGTGGTGTTCATGCCTGCAGTTCCAGCCACTAGGGAGGCTGAAGTGGGAGGATCGTTTGATTCCAGGTGTTCGAGGCTGCAATGAGCTATGACTGCACCACTGCACTCCAGCCTAGGTGACAGAGCGAGACCTTGTCTCAAAAAAAAGGGGGGGAATGACTAAGTAAGAAAATTCTAGGGCTCGTTCGGACTTGGGAAGGGGGCGAACCGCCGGGGGCTCACATACCCGAAGTTTTCTTCTCCACCATTTGCACAATACGATCGACGGGAGAGACTGCTGCGCAAGCGTACTAAACCCAAGGCTTGGGTAGGGGCACAATCACTTCCGGTGGCTGGTACTTCTGCGCGTGCGCTACCACTTTGACTCATTACGTGGCGTTCCCTTGGAGACCAGAAAGCTTTTCGCCATGTTTGATAGGGGCAAAACCACTTCCGGCCTCAGTCTTGCGATATAAATCTTGTGTGAACCACCAAACGGGTTATTTTAAAGAGGTGGTGACGGTGGTCTTACGAAAAACATTATTTTCCTCTGGTCCTTGTGAAGATCACAAAGGCAGCCCCTGGAGCTTCTCCCCGGGGCAGAAGAGGAAGTGGGCCGGACTGTCAAAGAAAGTGGCCGGCTTCCGTGGGCAATCCGAGGTTCCTAGTGGCCCTCTGCAGAAATCTCAATCCCCAGTTTCCCGGGGCCTCCGTCCCGCCGGCTCGCGCTTCCTCCCTCCCTGTCCCGCCACCCGCTGGCTCTCCCCGTCTTCCGCCCGCACTCTCCCGGCAGGGCTGCGCCCAGAATCCGCCCCCGCGTCCCGCCGGACCCTCCGCCAGGGGTCACTGCCCCGTCCGGGTTTCAGTTCCATAAGTGTCAAGCGGCTGGTTCGGCCCAGAGTCCCGGTCTCAGACCCGCCGGCCGGAGCCGCCGCCCCTCCCCCGCCTCCGGTGCACCCGGGACAATCCTCGCCTTGTCTGCGGCGCCGGCATCTGGAGCTTTCTGCAGCCTCCGGATACGCCTTTTTTCCAGGGCGTGGCCCCACCCCGGCTGCTCCCCGCGGCGGCCGCACAGCAGCCCGGGCGCCCCCTTCCCGCCGCCCCCGTCCGGAGCTGGGATCAAGGCGCGCCGCTCAGATCCCGGGATCCTGGGTGCTGTCTGGGCCCGCTCCCCACTATGGCCTCCTCGGGCCCGGGACCCCGGATCCTGCTGCTCTTGCTGCTGCTGCTGCTGCTGCTGCCCCCAGCGGCTTCAGCCTCCGACCGGCCCCGGGGCCGCAACCCGGTCAACCCAGGTGAGATCCCAGGGAGGCCGGGCACGGCAGAGGCGACAGAGACTGACGTGCCTGCCAGCCTGGCCCGGAGGGGGTCGGGAGCTCGAGGAGGTATCCGGCCCGTCCCCCGCCCAGCGTGCTCTTGATGCCGAGTAGCGCCAAGCCCCTTACCCATCCCCACCCTGAACTGGGGGTCCTGACCTCCAGAGCAAAGGGACTTGGAATTCCTGGGCGCCACTCCCACCCTGCCCTTCCTGCGGTTAGAGTGGGTGAGGAGAGTTTAAGAGGGCGAGGGAAGGGAAAAAGGGAGGGAGGTAGAGCGAGAGACAGCAAACACGTGGGGCCCGGCGCTGGGCGGATGGGTCCCAAGCGCCAGCTCCCCCTGGTAACAGAGAAGCTGCTGGTGATCACTGTGGCCACCGCTGAGACTGAGGGGTACTTGCGTTTCCTGCGCTCTGCAGAGTTCTTCAACTACACCGTGCGGGTGAGGAGAGGGAAAGCCCCCAGCGCCCCTGGGAGGGGGTCCCAGCAGGAGGGGTGGGCTGAAGTCCGGTTGCCCAGGTCCCCACTGTGAGCCTGGTCAGAAGCTGCCCCCCCCCCCACAACTCCCCAACCCTCGCCTGGCACTGGGCATCTCTCCCGCAGACCCTGGGCCTGGGAGAGGAGTGGCGAGGGGGTGATGTGGCCCGAACAGTTGGTGGAGGACAGAAGGTCCGGTGGCTAAAGAAAGAAATGGAGAAATACGCCGACCGGGAGGATATGATCATCATGTTTGTGGACAGGTAACAGGGCTGGGAAAAGGGAGCAAGGTAAGGGTTCTGAGGTTCCTACTGGACCCCTGCTCATCCTCCCCTTCCTCGCCCAGCTATGATGTGGTTCTGGCCGGCGGCCCTTCAGAGCTGCTGAAGAAGTTTGTCCAGAGTGGCAGCCGCCTGCTCTTCTCTGCGGAGAGCTTCTGCTGGCCCGAGTGGGGGCTGGCAGAGCAGTACCCTGAGGTGGGCACGGGGAAGCGCTTCCTCAACTCTGGTGGTGAGTGGCAGAGTCCCCAAGGCAGAGGGGCCAAGAGCGGTGGGGCACAGAGTGTTCCTGGTGCCTGAGGGCTGGAGAGGGCCTGGGGGACGGGCCGTGGGATGCCGCAAGTCTCGGGGTCAACGCTTCACCTCCCCACCAGGATTCGTCGGCTTTGCCACCACCATCCATCAAATCGTCCGCCAGTGGAAGTACAAGGATGACGACGATGACCAGCTGTTCTACACACGGCTTTACCTGGACCCAGGACTGAGGGTGAGGAGGGCAGAAGAGTGGGTGCACCCCACAGCTCTGTGCTAGCGGAGGCCTCAGGCTGAATGGGAGCAGAGGGGCGAACGGGGTGTAAAGAGAAAAATGTGTGCCTGGGCATGGTGGCTCTTGCCTGTAATCCCAGTGCTTTGGGAGGCTTAGGCAGGATTGCTTGAGCCCAGGAATTCAGTACTAGCCTGGACAACGTAGTGAAACCTCATCTCTACCAAAAAAAAAAAAAAAAATTAGCCAGGCTTCATGGTGCACATCTGTAATCCCAGCTACTTGGGAGGCTAAGGTGGGAGGATCTCTTAAGCGCAGGAGTTTGAGGTTATTTTGAGTTATGACTGCACCACTGCACTCCAGCTAAGGTGACAGAATGAGACCCTGTCTCTTAGAAAAAAATAAAAGAGAAGCCTCGTATGGTGGCTAACACCTGTAATCCCAGCACTTTGGGAGGCCAAGGTGGGTGGATCACTTGAGGTTGGGAATTTGAGTCCAGCCTGACCAACATGGTGAAACCACCATCTCTACTAAAAATACAAAAATTAACTGGGCACAGTGGCACTCGCCTGTAGTCCCAGCTACTCAGAATAATCGCTTGAACCAGGAGGCGGAGATTGCAGTGAGCCAAGATCGCACCACGACACTCCAGCCTGGGCAACAAGAACAAGAGAAAAAAAGTGAGAAATGATGAAATGATCCTTCCTGATTCTTCCATTTTAACCACTCCATCGCATCTCATTCCATCCAGGAGAAACTCGGCCTTAATCTGGATCATAAGTCTCGGATCTTTCAGAATCTCAACGGGGCTTTAGGTGAGGAGGAAGACAGCAGCAGGTGGGCGATGCTCAGCCTCCGCACTAGGAATCTTGAACTGGGAGAGGCTTCTGGAGGAGCTGAGCTGGCCTGAGCCCACCTCTCTGTGGCTTTGTCGGGCGTCTGAGTGGCCGATGGTGTGAGTCGCACTGTGCTGACGGTACTAGAAGCAAGGGAAGCCAAAGCATGCTGGCGTCTGGGGCACACATGCTGTGCCTGGGCACCCGGCCAGGGGTTTTACTTCTGTGATTTCATTTAACAAGAGAAAGGTCCCTGGTTATCCACCTCCTACAGATGAGGAAAGTAACTTGTGGAGGGGTTAGTGACTTACCTCAGGGGATGGGGAGAAAAGAGATAGAGAGGCCGGGCGTGGTGGCTCACACCTGTAATCCCAGCACTTTGGGAAGCCAAGATTGGAGGATCATTTGAGGTCAGGAATTCTAGACCAGCGTGGCCAACATGGCAAAACCCTGTCTTTACTAAAAAACAGTACAAAAATTAGCCAGGCATGTTGGCAGCCACCTGTAATTCCAGCCACTCAGGAGGCTGAGGCAGGAGAATCACTGGAACCTGGGAGGCAGATGTTGCAGTGAGCTGAGGTCATGCCACTGTACTCCAGCCTGGTGACAGAGCGAGACTCTGTCTCAAAAAAAAAAAAAAAAGCAAGGAGGCTGAACACGGTGACTCATGCCTGTAATCCCAGCACTTTGGGAGGCCGAGGCAGGCAAATCATGAAGTCAGGAGTTCAGGACCAGCCTAGCCAACATAATGAAACCCTGTCTCTACTAAAAATACAAAAATTAGGCTGGGTGCGACAGCTCATGCCTGTAATCCCAGCACTTTGGGAGGCCAAGGCAAGTGGATCATCACCTGAGGTCAGGAGTTCAAGACCAGCCTGGCCAACATGGCGAAACCTCTTCTCTATTAAAAATACAAAAATTAGCAGGGCATGGTGGCACACGCCTGTAATCCCAACTATTCAGGAAGCTGAGGATGGAGAATCTCTTGAACCCAGGAGGTGGAGGTTGCAGTGAGCTGAGATGGCGCCATTGCACTCCAGCCTGGGTGACTGAGCAAGACTCCGTCTCAAAAAAAAAAATGAGAGAGAACATGAAGAGGGATAGGGATGCTGAGGTTCCCAGTGGCACCCAGCTCAGTTCATCCTGCCCTTCCTCACCCAGCGGCTTCGATGTGCTCAGGCAGGTAGTCAGTGGAGCTCTCTGAGCCAGCAGCCTGGTCAGAACTCGAAGGTTCCTGCCCCCCACAAGCCACACTCCAGGATAGTCCCAGTGTCCCTTTATCCCTGGAGAATTTGGGACCCCATATTTAGAAGAACGTGTTGCTCGGCAGCTCCCAGAGAAAGGGGGTCTGAATCCTGGCCTTTTTCTTCCCCAGATGAAGTGGTTTTAAAGTTTGATCGGAACCGTGTGCGTATACGGAACGTGGCCTACGACACGCTCCCCGTTGTGGTCCATGGAAATGGTCCTACTAAGGTGCCACCAGTGGCTTCAACCCCTGCCCTGCCCTGCCCCAACCCCTGGGCATCTCCAACCCTTCTGAGAAGCCGGCCCTCCCCAGCTCCCACAGCAGAGGTGCCCCACCTCCACCCTGGAGGCCTCAGCCACTCAGCCTCTGTCTCTCCCCAACAGCTGCAGCTCAACTACCTGGGAAACTATGTCCCCAACGGCTGGACTCCCGAGGGAGGCTGTGGCTTCTGCAACCGGGACCGGAGGACACTCCCGGGGGGGCAGGTGAGGCAGGGGTGCCGGGAAAGAAGGCAGCATGCTGAGCAGGAGGTGCAAGGACAGTGGGCTGGGTGTTGGTGGGGGCAATGCCCCTGAGTCCCCGAATCTGGCAGGGTGGAGGGTGGGTGGGGGCGGCAGGAAGTCCAGGCTTCCCTCTGAGCGCCTTCGTGTCGCATCTTCCAGCCTCCCCCCCGGGTGTTTCTGGCCGTGTTTGTGGAACAGCCTACCCCATTTCTGCCCAGCTTCCTGCAGCGGCTGCTGCTCTTAGACTATCCCCACGACAGGATCACCCTTTTCCTGCACAATAACGTGAGACCCCCCCGCCCCCCAAAGCCTCTCCCAAAGGACCCTTCCCCTGCCCTAATCAGCACTCCCGTGCCCCCACCCCCATAGCCTACCTGCACCCCCATCCCTCAAGGGCCGCCTCCTTGCCCTCTGAGCCCGTCCCCCATGTCAACCCCTCCCCAGGAGGTCTTCCATGAGCCTCACATCGCTGACTCCTGGCCGCAGCTCCAGGAACACTTTGCAGCCACGAAGCTGGTGGGGCCAGAGGAGGCTCTGAGCCCAGGCGAGGCCAGGGACATGGCCATGTGAGCAGGCACTGGGCAGGGAGGAGGGCAGGATGAGGGTGCAGGGTGGGGGTGGCTGCCACCCGCTGCCTGGCCCTCGCCTCACCTATCACCCTTCCAGCTCCTCCCAGGCTTCTCCACTCGCATCCTTGCAGCTCCCACGCTGTCACATCCCCTCCCCACCCTTGCTAGCTCACCCAGACAGCAGAGAGCCTGGGGAAAGAAGGCCAGATGCTGCCTCCCTCCTCTTCTCCTGGGGTGGGGCCAATTCCCCATCCCCACCCGCCTCCCTGCCTGCTGCTGTTTGAGCTCAGCTCTCACCTCCAGGGACATGTGTCGGCAGGACCCCGAGTGCGAGTTCTACTTCAGCCTGGACGCTGATGCTGTCCTCACCAACCCACAGACCCTGCGCATCCTCATTGAGGAGAACAGGTGGCTTGCCCTCTTTCCCTGCAGCCGGGGGGCACCCCAACAGGCCCCGGGAACCCCACTCCTGCCCTGGGCACTGGGCTCCCCAGGCCTGCTCTCTTCCACCCAGCCCTCACCCTCGCCTGTCCACAGGAAGGTGATTGCCCCCATGCTGTCCCGCCACGGCAAGCTGTGGTCCAACTTCTGGGGTGCCCTGAGCCCTGACGAGTACTACGCCCGCTCTGAGGACTACGTGGAGCTGGTGCAGAGAAAGCGAGTGTGAGTCCCGCCAGCCTGCAGCCCCCTCTTCTGACCCAGGGCCTGGGTAGACCCAAGCCTCCTAGTCACCAGTCAGAGGTGCCATGAGGCCGGGTGCAGTGGCTCACACCTGTGATCCCACTACTTTGGGAAGCCAAGGTATGAGGACTGCTTGAGCCTGGTGAGATCAGCCTGGTCAATATAGCAAAATCTTATCTCTACAAAAAATTTAAAGTATTAGCTGGGCATGGTAGTGAGAGCCTCTAGTCCCAGCTACTACTACAGAGGCTGAGGTGGGAGGATCACTTGAGCTTGGGAGGTTGAGGCTGCAGTGAGCCATGTTTGCACCACTGCACTCCAGCCTGGAAACGGGGAGACCCTGTCTCAAGAAAAGAAAAAACAAAGGCCAGGCCTGGTGGCTCAATCCTGTAATCCCAGCACTTTGGGAGGCTGAGGCGGGCAAATCACTTGAGATCAGGAGTTCCAGACCAGCCTGGCCAACATGATGAAAGCCCATCTGTTTTTTTTTTTCTTTTTGAGATGGAGTCTTGCTCTGTCGCCAGGCTGGAGTGCAATGGCGTGATCTCGGCTCCCTGCAACCTCCGCCTCCTGGGTTCAAGCAATTCTCCTGCCTCAGCCTCCTGAGTAGCTGGGATTACAGGCACACACCACCATGCCCAGCTAATTTTTGTATTTTTAATAGAGACGGAGTTTCACCATATGGGCCAGGATGGTCTCGATGTCTTGACCTCGTGATCCACCCGCCTCAGCCTCCCAAAGTGCTGGGATTACAGGCATGAGCCAGTGTGCCTGGCCTTTTTTTTGTTTTTGAGATGAAGTCTTGCTTTGTCACCCAGGCTGAAGTGCAGTGGTGTGATCTCAGCTCATTGCAACCTTCACCTCCTGGGTTCAAGTGATTCTCCTGCCTCAGCCTCCTGAGTAGCTGGGATTACAGGCGCACGCCACCATGCCTGGCTGATTTTTGTATTTTGAGTAGAGATGGGGTTTCACCATGTTGTCCAGGCTGATCTCGAACTCCTGATGTTATGATCCGCCCACTTCGGCCTCCTAAAGTGTTGAGATTACAGGCGTGAGCCACTGCTCCCAGCAGTGAAACCCCAACCAAAAATACAAAAATTAGCCGGGTTTGGTGGCAGGCGCCTGTTAACCCTGCTACTCAGGAGGCTGAGGTGGGAGAATTGTTTGAACCTGGGAGGCGGAAGTTGCAGTGAGCTGAGATCGCACCACTGCACTCCAGCCTGGGTGACAAAGCGAGACGGGGTCTCAAAAAAAAAAAAAAAAAAAGAAACAAGAAACAAAAAAGAAGTGTCACAGCTTGGGGCAGGGACCGACTGCATTTGTGGAGAGGGGATGCCTGTGACCAGCAGTGCTTGATAAGGGACATGGAGGGGTCTTATGTTCAGGGACTTCGATGCTCTGAGGGAAGAAGGGCTTCCTGGGATGAGCTGGGTAGAATTTGGGGGGCTGCCCCCCCAGCTGACCATGGTGTCGGTGCCTCCAGGGGCGTGTGGAATGTGCCATACATCTCCCAGGCCTATGTGATCCAGGGGGAGACCCTGCGGATGGAGCTGCCCCAGAGAGAGGTGTTCTCAGGCAGTGACACGGACCCGGACATGGCCTTCTGTAAAAGCTTTCGAGACAAGGTGAGTGCGCACCTGGTCTGGCCTGGGGGCCTGATGCTAAGATGCTGGGGACAGACCCCAGGTGCTGCCGGCATCATGGACACCCCCACCCCACTACAGGGCATCTTCCTCCATTTGAGCAATCAGCACGAATTTGGCCGGCTCCTGGCCACTTCCCGATACGACACAGAGCACCTGCACCCCGACCTCTGGCAGATCTTCGATAACCCCGTTGTGAGTGAGAACCCCGAGCTCAGGTTCCCCGCCCTGTGCTAAGGAAGACATCAAGCACGATGGCTGCCACCAGCACAGGACGCTGAGCAGGAAGGGGAGGCCCCTGGGGGCTGGGAGACAGGAGGGCACAGGTCTGATGTGGCCCCCATCCTCCCACAGGACTGGCAGGAGCAGTACATCCACGAGAACTACAGCCGGGCCCTGGAAGGGGAGGGAATCGTGGAGCAGGTGGGTCTGCACAGCCCCTGCCGCCCTCATGGCCATTGCCTTTTGAGGGCCTCCACCTGGATTCAAAGTTGTCAGACTGAGTTCCCCAGGGGCCTGAGGGCTTTCTTCAGGCAAGATGAAGTCAGAGGCAGAATGCAGCATTGATTAGAGGGCCTCTCCTCTCCTGTTGTGTTGGGTATATTGGTGTTACGTATGAAATCACATCTTTAAAGAGGAATGGGGCTAGGCACAGTGGCTCACGCCTGTAATCATATCACTTTGGGAGGCCAAGGCAGGCAGATTGTGAGGTCAAGAGATCAAGACCATCCTGGCCAACATGGTGAAGCCCTGTCTCTCTAAAATTACAAAAATTAGCTGTGCGTGGTGGCACACACCTGTAGTCCCAGCTACTTGGGAGGCTGAGGCAAGAGAATTGCTTGAACCCAGGAGGCAGAGGTTTCAGTGAGCCAAGGTTGTGCCACTGCACTCCAGCCTGGTGACAGAGCGAGATTCCATCTCAAAAAAAAAAAAAAAATTAGGCCAGGAGCAGTGCTCAAGCCTATAATCCCAGCACTTCGGGAGGTTAAGGCAGGCAGATCAGTTGAGGTCAGGAGTTCCAGACTAGCCTGGCCAATATTGCAAAACCCTGTCTCTACTAAAAAATCAAAAGTAACAAAAATTCGCTAGACGTGATGCTGGGCACCTGTAATCTCAGCTACGCGGGAGGCTGAGGTGGGAGAATCACTTGAATCTGGGAGGCACAGTTTGCAATGAGCCAAGATGGTGCCACTGCACTCCAGCATGGGTGACAGAGAGAGACCCTGTCTCAAAAAAAAAAAGAAAGAAAAAATTAGCTTGGCATGGTGGCATGTGCCTGTAGTTCCAGCTACCTGGGACGCTGAGGTGGGAGGATTGCTTGAGCCGAGAAGGTTGAGACTATAATGAGCTCTGATTACGCCACCACACTCCAGCCGGGTGACAGAGCAACACCCTATCTTTAAAAAAAAAAAAAAAAAAGAGGGATGCACTGTTATGGAAATTTGGAAACCACTGTCCCAGATGAGGGGCTCCAGGGCCCTTTGCCACCTCCGCCATGCCAGATCCCAGATCTCAGCCTTGCCTTTCCCCCCAGCCCCTACCTGGCGGGTCCTCCGGCTGTTCTCACAGAGCCTTCCCTGCTCCCTGCTGTCCCTTCCCATTCTGCCTGCTGCCTGTCCGCTTCCCAATTCTGCACCATCACCTAGCCCTGTTCTCCCCCACCCTGTCCTCAGCCATGCCCAGACGTGTACTGGTTCCCACTGCTGTCAGAACAAATGTGTGATGAGCTGGTGGAGGAGATGGAGCACTACGGCCAGTGGTCAGGTGGCCGGCATGAGGTGAGGGCCTGGGTGATGAGGCCGGAGGGCTCCCTGGAGGAGGGGGTACGGGTCTAGTCAAGGAGCAATGGAATCAGGAAAGTGGGAGCAAAGAGGGGTTCCCAGAGGGGAGGCAGACCCTGGGGTCACCACTGCATTCATTCATGTATTCAAGAAATATTTCCTCCTGGGCACGGTGGCTCATGCCTGTAATCCTAGCACTTTGGGAGGCCGAGGCAGGAGGATTGCTTGAGCCAGGGAGTTTGAGGCCAGCCTGGGCAACATAGCAAGACCCTGTCTCTACAAAAAGTTTAAAAATTAGCTGGGTGTGGTGGTGTGAGCCTGTGGTCCCAGCTATTCAGGAGGCTGAGGCTGAAGGATCACTTGAGCCCCAGAGTTAGAGGCTGCAGTGAGCTATGATCACACCATAGCACTCCAGCCTGGGTGACAGAGCAAGACTCTGTCTCTAAAAAAAGAAAAAAGGAAATATTTCCTGGGCCACTGTCCTAGACTGCACTGGAAGAATGCCTCAGGCCGGCCGGGTGTGAGCAACAGCGGCCACCCAGCTTCTAAGGCTGTGATAAGCAGCCTGGGCACATGGAAGCCATGGGGAAGCTTTGACCCAGGCTTGGGAGGACTAGGGCGCTTCACAGAACAGGTGACATCTTAGCTGAGACTTGAAAGGCCGGGAGCAGTGAGTCAGGCTGAGAAGTAGCAGAGAAGACTGTTCCACACAGAGGTATACAGGTGCAAAGGCTGGGGAACAGGAGGAAGGAGGCTGGACTGCCCTATGGGGCACCATGGCTAGAGGGTGTGGGTGGCTCAGTGCCTTCCACCCTCAGGATTCCAGGCTGGCTGGAGGCTACGAGAACGTGCCCACTGTGGACATCCACATGAAGCAGGTGGGGTATGAGGACCAGTGGCTGCAGCTGCTGCGGACGTATGTGGGCCCCATGACTGAGAGCCTGTTTCCCGGCTACCACACCAAGGTGTGCCCCCCACCTGCTCGCTGCCCCCACCTGCCCGCTGCCCCCCACCTGCCCACTGCCCCCCACCTTCCCCACCCCAGTACCGGGCTGGAAGTCTCCACGCAGACCCCTTTCAGCCCCCACAGTATTTGGGCGCCATGCACTTTGGTTCCCAGGGGAATGAGAAGCTGCAGGAGGCAGCCTCTGGGAGAGGAGGGAGCCAGGCTGAAACCCCAGGCCAGGCTTGGCCCTAACCTAATACCAGTGAGCTAGGAGACCCTCCCATGCAGGGGCCCCACCAACCATCCCCTCTCCTCCCTGGACAAGGACTGTCATCTCCCTGAAGATCCCCTGCGATGACCGGGCATGGTAGCTCACTCCTGTAATCCCAGCACTTTGGGAGGCCAAGGCAGGCAGATGATCACCTGAGGTCAGGAGTTCAAGACCAGCCTGGCCAAGATGGTGAAACCTCGTCTCTACTAAAAATATAAAAATTAGCTAGGCATGGTGGTGTGTGCCTGTAATCCCAGCTACTCGGGAGGCTGAGGCAGGAGAATCCCTTGAACCCAGGAGGCAGAGGTTGCCTTGAGCCGAGATTGAGCCACTTGCACTTCAGCCTGACAGAGCGAGACTGTCTCAGAAAAATATAAAAATTAAAGACTCCCTACGCTCACAGCTGTCCCTGCAGCCTCTTCCCTCCTGTTTCCCAGGCGCGAGCGGTGATGAACTTTGTAGTCCGCTACCGGCCGGACGAGCAGCCCTCTCTACGGCCACACCATGACTCATCCACCTTCACCCTCAACGTCGCCCTCAACCACAAGGGCCTGGACTATGAGGTGCGCCCCTGCCACTCCACCCACCCACTCTTCACCTCGGGACCCTCGGGTCCCCTCCTAGAGCCTCTGCTTGCACCCCCAGCTCCCCTCCCTGCTTATTTCCCCGTGATTTCGTGGGTGTCAGCTCCTAGGTGGCTTCTGGGCAGGCGGCCTCCGCTTCCTCCTGGATCTTCTTTACCTACAGGCACCCCAGCCCTCCCCCATATCTGCCATCTCCCTTGTCACCCTGGTCTTCCACACCGTTCTCCCTGGTCTACCTGCCCCACCCCCTATATCTGCCTGTCCCACCCCCCTGTGCCCACCTGTCCCGCCCCCTGGCCTGGCTGCCCCGCCCCTTGGATCTGCATGCCCCGCCCTCTGTCAGCCTCTTCAGGCCCAAGATTCCTTTCCCTTCTCTTTCCAGGGAGGCGGTTGCCGCTTCCTGCGCTACAACTGTGTGATCTCGTCCCCGAGAAAGGGCTGGGCCCTCTTGCACCCCGGCCGTCTCACCCACTACCACGAGGGGCTGCCCACGACCCAGGGCACGCGCTACATCATGGTGTCCTTTGTCGACCCCTGACACTCAACCACTCTGCCAAACCTGCCCTGCCGTTGTGCCTTTTTAGGGGGCGTGGCCCCCATCCTGGGAGTCGGGGGATGAGTCTCTCCCTCTCCCCGTTTCCTGAGTGCATACTCTGTGTGCCTGAACTGAATGTGTCTCGTTGCTCCCAACACACAGCCCTCTCAGGAAGCTGCTGGAGTCCCCGCCTCTCCCCTCCGCCCCCAGGGGTTCATGGGGACTGGGCTTCTGGGGGCTCCCTGCGTGATAAATTATGAACGTTCCTCAGCCTCAGTCCCAATAAAGGACAGTTTGTAAGTCTGGAGTCCATTCATTTGCCCATTGACCCCATTCCCCTTCCTGCCACCAGCGTGGAGGGGAGAGACCCTGAAAAGTGAAGACAAGAAAAAAAAGGGAGAGGCAGAATGTTAGACCCTCATGGGAACCTGGAGGCTTCCCTGGCCCCCACGTTCCCCTTCCCCTGTATTGACTGAGCTGGAGAGAGTGCGTGAGAGGGCACAGACCAAGAGAAGGACATCTCAGGTTGGGCACAGTGGCTCACACTGTAATTCCAGTACTTTGGGAAGCCAAGGTGGGCAGAGGATCGCTGGAGGCCAGGAGTTCAAGACCAGCCTGGACAACATAGCAATATCCCATCTCTACAAAAAATAAATTAGCTGGACATGGTGGCTCACACCTGCAATCCCAGCACTTTAGGAGGCTGAGGTGGGTGGATCACTTGAAGTTGGGATTCAGGACCACCCTGGCTAACATGGTGAAACCCTGTCTCTACAAAAAGAATACAAAATTAGGCTGGGCACTGTAATCCCAGCACTTTGGGAGGCTGCCAGAGGGTGGATCACGAGGGCAGGAGTTCGAGACCAACCTGGCCAGATGGCAAAACCGCGTCTCTACTAAAAAATACAAACATGAGCTGGGCGTGGTGGCAGGTGCCTTTAATCCCAGCTACTCAGGAGGCTGAGGCAGGAAAATCATTTTCACCTGGGAGGCAGAGGTTGCAGTGAACTGAGAGGCACTCTACTCTGGGTGACAGGTTGAGATTCCATCTAAAAGAAAAAAAAAATTAACTGGGCATGGTGGCACATGCCTGCAATCCCAGCTTACTTGGGAAGCTGAGGCAGGAGAATTGCTTGAACCTGGGAGGGGGAGGTTGCAGTGAGCCAAGATTGCAACATTGCACTCCAGCCTGGTCAACCAAGAGCAAAACTCTATCTCAAAAGTAAATAAATAAATAGGCTGGGCACGGTGGCTCGTGCCTGTAGTCCCAGCACTGCCGAGGTGGGCAGATCATGAGGTCAGGCATTCAAGACCAGCCTGGCCAACATGGTGAAACCCTGTCTCTACTAAAAATACAAAAATTAGCTGGGTGTGCTGGTAGGCGCCTGTATTCCCAACTACTCGGGAGGTTAAGGCAGAATTGCTTGAACTCAGAAGGCAGAGGTTGCAGTGAGCTGAGATCACGCCACTGCACTCCAGTCTGCAACAGAACAAGGCTCTATCTCAAAAAAAAAAAAAAAAAAAAAAAAAAAAAAAAAAAAAAAAAAGCTTTCCAGCCAGGTGCAGTGGCTCATGCCTGTACTCCCAGCACTTTGGGAGGCCAAGGTGGGCGGATCATGAGGCCAGGAGATCAAGACCATCCTGGCCAAGTGGTTGTGGGCGCCTATTGTCCCAGCTACTCAGGAGGCTGAGGCAGGAGAATCGCTTGAACCCGGGAGGCAGAGGTTACAGTGAGCTGAGATCACACCACTGCACTGCAGCCTTGGCGACAGAGCAAGAATCCTTCTCGAAACAAACAAACGAAAAAAAGCTTTCTGCGCTACTTACAGAGGGATCCATACGGCGTTGTTCCGGATTCCAGTCGTAACTTAAAGGGCAACTTTAACAATGTCCAGAGCCCTTGATGCCCTGCACATGAAGGAGGAGGATGTCCTTCGTTCCTTGCAGAAGGAGCCCACTTAGGTGGCAGCAATCTTGACATCCAGATGGAACAGTACATCTATAAAAGGAAACATGACGGCATCTTCATCAATCTTGAAGAGGACCTGGGAGAAGTTCCTGCTGGCAGCTCGTGCCATTGTTTTCATTGAAAACCCTGCTGATGTCAGTCTTATACCCTCCAGGAGCACCGGCCAGAAGGCTGTGCTGAAGTTTGCTGCTCCACTGGAGCCACTCCATTGCTGGCCACTTCACTCCTGGAACCTTGGCTACCCAGATCCAGCCAGCCTTCCTGGAGCCTTCCACGGTTTCTTGTGATTACTGACTGAGCCCAGGGCTGACCACCAGCCTCTCACAGAGGCATCTTATGTTAACCTACCTCCCACTGCTCTGTGTAACACAGATTCTCCTCTGTGCTAGTGGACATTGCCATCCTATGCGATGTCAGTGGGTTCAATGTGGTGGAGTCTGGTTTAGGCAGTTCTGCGCATGCGTGGCATCATTTCCCGTGAACTTTCACCTGTGGGAGGTTGTGCCTGATCTACTCCTTTTTTTTTTTTTTTCAGAGATGGGGTTTCACCGTGTTGGCCAGGCTGGTCTTGATCTCCTGACCTCTGGTGATCTGCCCACCTCAGCCTCCCAAAGTGCTGGGATTATAGGTGTGAGCCACCTCGCCCAGCCCTCTTCTTCTTTTTTTTTGAGATGGAGTTTTGCTCTTGTCGCCCAGTCTGGAGAGCAATGGCATGATATCAGCTCACCACAATCTCCTTCTTCTGGGTTCAAGTGATTCTCCTGCCTCAGCCTCCCAAGTAGCTAGGATTACAGGCATGTGCCACCACGCCCGGCTAATTTTTGTATTTTTAGTAGAGACAGGGTTTCATCATGTTGGCCAGGCTAGTCTTGAACTCCTGACCTCAGGTGATCCACCTGCCTCAGGCTCCCAAAGCGCTGGGATTACAGGCGTGAACCACCATACCCAGCCTTGATCTCTATTTTTATAGAGATCCTGAAGAGACTGAAAAAGAAGAGCAGGCTATGTCTGAAAAGTCTGTGAGCAAGGAGGAATTTCAGGGTGAACGGACTCCTGAGCCGAATGCTCTGGCTCCTGAGTTCTCTGCTACTCAGCCTGAGATTGCAGACTGGTCTGAAGGTGTGCGGGTGGCCTCTGTGCCGATCCAGCAGTTCCCTACACAGAAGACTGGTCTGCAGCTACCACTGCTCAGGTCACTGAATGGGTAGGAGCAACCACTGAATGGGTAGGAGCAACCACTGAATGGTCTTAAGCTGTCCCTGCACAGGCTCATAAGCAACATGAAAATAAGGCTGATGGAAAATAAACATCAGTTTTGAAAATAAATAAATAAAATAAACTTGGCATGGTGGTGCACGCCTGTAGTCCCAGCTACTCAGGAGGCTCAGGTGGGAGGATGATTTGAGCCCAGGAGTTGGAGGGTCCTGATTTGAGCTATGATTGAACCACTGCACTCCAACCTGGGTGACAGAGTGAGACCTTAACTCCTTATATATATATATAGATACACACACACACACACGCACAAACAGGCTTGTTCACCCATCCTAAGACATTTCTTGCCTCCAACATCTCACCATCCACAGCTAGAATCCCCTTTTTAATTTTTTTCATTTTTTAACTTTTTTTCTTCCTTTTTCAGAGCAGAGCATCAAAGATCATTTTTTATTTATCTTTATTTTTATTTATTTATTTTTGAGATGGAGTCTCACTCTGTCACCCAGGCTGGAGTCCAGTGGCATGATCTTGGCTCACTGCAATCTCTACCTCCCAGGTTCAAGTGATTCTCCCACCTCAGCTTCCTAAGTAGCTGAGACTACGGGCACCTGCTACCATGCCCAGCTAATTTTTGTATTTTAATAGAGACAGGGTTTCACCACATTAGTCAGGCTGATCTCAAACTCTTGACCTCAAGTGATCCACCCACCTTGGCTTCCCAAAGTGCTGGGATTACCAGTGTAAGCCACCACACCAGGCCTTATTTTTATTTTTTGAGATGAGGGCTCACTATGTTGACCAGGCTGGTCTCGAACTTCTGTACTCAAGCGATCCTCCCATCTCGGCCTCCCAAAGTGCTGGAATTATAGGTGTGAGCCACTGTGCTTAGCCTTAAATCCCCTTTTCCTGTCCAGTCTTCAGGGAAAACCTCCTTTAAGGAGCATGCCTTCCTGGTAGGTGGGGCCGATCACCTGATTGGTTACATTTCCATGGGATCGAGCATCTTTCTGGCCAGAATTTAAAATCCATCTCACCCTGGACCCCACCACCCTTGTCCCGTGTCCTGTGAATGGTGGCGAGCTGAGTAGGGACAGGAGAAAACACCTCTTGGCAAGTGTTCTCCCACAGAAGCCTAGGATGCCCCTGCAGGTCCTGGGCCTCAGGGACCAGCCCCTGTGACTCGAAGGTTTTCAGGCTGTTTTGATTGACACGGGATCCTGCCCTTTGTAGGACACCCCATTCAGACCACCTCTCTCCTTCCCAGAGGGTCCTGGTTGTTTTGTTTTTTTGGTTGTTGCTTTGTTTTTTGAGTTTTTTGTTTCGTTGAGACAGGATCTCCCGCTGTTTGCCCAAGCTGGCGTGCAGTGGTACAATCATGGCTCATTGCAGCCTCAACCTCCTGGGCTCAAGCAGTCCTCCTGCCTCAGCCTCCCAAATGGCTGAGACTACAGGTATGTGCCACTACACTCAGCTATTATTGATTTGTTTATTTATTTATTGGTAGAGATGGGGTCTTGCTATGTTGCCCTGGCTGGTTGAATTCCTGGACTCAAGTTATCCTTGGCTTCCCAAAGTGTGCAGGGATTATGCGCCTAGGCTGCCGGGCAGGGGAAGAGGAGAGCGGTGCTCCCCACGGAACCCAGGGCCAGGAGTCAGCTGTCCCCTGCTCCCTCAGGGCCTCCCTGATGCCTGTCTTCTCCAGGGGGACCGAGCTCAGCAGTTCTCGAACCTGCCCCGTCGGGCTGGTGGGTGTGGAGGGCGCAGGAGACGCTGCAGCCGCTGCTATCGTGGCCCAGCTGCTGGTAATCGTGGCCTGCCGCTGTTCACCGCCACCGGGGCCTCCCGCGGCCCTTCCGCGCGCCCATCCACACGGTCGGTGAGCCCCGGCCTCCGCCCCGCGATCTCGGCCCAGTGCCCGCTCCCCGGAGCTCGGGGTACGCTCCTTCCCCGTCCCGGGTTGAGGCCTCGCCAACCAGGCTGGCCTTTGGCCACTGCGCCAGCCCTGAACTCTGTCCCAGACGATCCCCGCGGGCAGAAGGGAGGGAAGGGGCGTGGCGGGCGGAGGATTCCAGATTCCAGCCCGGGTCGCCTCCCTTCCCGCCCGCAGTGAGGGCGGCGATTCCCGTCCAGCGGAGCTCCGGGCCCAGCCGGACCCAGGTGGACGCGCTGCAAGCGGGCTACGTGGAGCGACTCACGCAGCTGTTCCAGGAGCTCAAGGCGCGCTGTGGTGTTTCCGCGCACAGGCACCCAGTCCTCACCTAGGCGCGCCCCACCGCCTGGCCTGCCTGGCCCCTGGGCGACTGCGGGTTGGGGAGTGAAATTAAAGGCGGGGGGCGGGGCGGGGGGGGGCCGCGGTGGCTCATGCCTGTAATCCCAGCACTCTGGGAGGCCGAGGCGGGTGGATTACTCGAGGTCAGGAGTTTGAGACCAGCCTGGCCAACATGGTGAAACCCTGTCTCCATTCAAAATAAAAACAAACAAAAAAGTAGCCGGACGTTGCGGTGCGCCTGTAATCCCAGCTGCTCAGGAGGGTAGGGCAGAGAGCTGTTTGAACCCGGGAGGTGGAGGTTGCAGTGAGCTGAGATCGCACCACTGTACTCCAGCCTGGGGGACAGAGGTGAGATTTCAAAAGAAAGAGAGAAAGAAAGAGGGCTGGGCACGGTGGCTCACACCTATAATCTCAGCACTTTGGGAGGCCAGGGCTGGTGGATCACAAGGTCAAGACCAGCCTGGCCAACATAGTGAAAGCCCGTCTCTACTAAAAATACAAAAATTAGCTGGACATGGTGGCGGACACCTGTAATCCCAGCTGCTTGGGAGACTGAGGCAGAGAAATGCTTGAACTCGGGAGATGGAGGCTGCAGTGAGCCGAGATCCGGCTACTGCACTTCAGCCTGGGAGACAGAGCAAGACTCTGTCTCAAAAAATAAATCAGGGGAACAGACCTGCAGTCTGTGTGTGTGTGTGTTTGTGCATGGCAGGGGGAGGTCCAGGCAGGGGTGGTGACCTTGACGTTCCTGGAGATGCGAACTGCCCAGGGCCCTGCTCCCCCACTAGAGGTCAAATAGTCTCAGCAGGGCTCCTGGTCCCCGGCCAGCGCCCAGGACCCAGTGCGTGGGCTAGCCAGATCACTCTGGTCCACCCAACATCAATGCACTCGCAGCACTCAGTGTCGCCTCTCCTTTGCACGCCCCTAGCCCCTCCCAGCCCCACCCAGCAGACAGCCCAGGCTGGTGACTAACTTACAAAGTTCAAAGGTCAGGCTGAGAAAAAACTCAGAGACATCTGGAGCTCCCTGACCCAAAGATCTCCCCACTCACACACCTGGGGACACAGGCGATTCTGGGAGGTGATTTGCGACGACTTAGCCGGGCCCCCAGGGCTGGGCTTCTATTGGGAGAAAGTCTGCCCAGGTCCACAGCCAAGCCTTCATCGTTTGTCCTCCGGGTTTGGGCTCCTGCTGGAAGAGGGCAGCTTCTGCGATGGGAGTATCCACAGCCCCACCGCCCCCCACCACCTCCAAAACCCCTCGGAAGCAGCATCTAGAAGCAGTGGGCGCCTACCAATATGTGCTCACTTTCCTCTTCATGGGTGAGAGCGAGGGAGGCAAGGGTGCTTGGGGTCTGCCAGGGGAGTAGGTCTTGGAGGGAGAGTGGCTGGGCTCCTGGCTTGCATTTCTAAGGACAGTGACCAGGTGACAGGAGAGGGCCAGAGGAGATGGCTGGATGTCCTGCAGGGGAGGAAGGGAAGGGAGCACCTGGAAGGAATGACAGCGTTTCAGAAGTGAACTCGTGGCTGGAGGCAGTGGCCCATGCCTGTATCCCAGCACTTTGGGAAGCCAAGGCAGGTGGATCACCTGAGGTCAGGCATTCGAGACCAGCCTGGCCAACATGGTGAAACCCCATCTGTACTAAAAACAAAAAAAATTAGCCAGGCATGGTGGCAGGCGCCTGTAATTCCAGCTAATGGGGAGGCTAAGGCAGGAGAATCGCTTGAACCTGAGGGGCGGAGGTTGGAGTGAGCTGAGATTGCACCACTGCACTCCAGCCTGGGTGACAGAGCAGGACTCTGTCTCAAAAAAAAAAAAGAAGTGAACTCTTCTTTCCCGCCCTTCACCCAGGCCCTTTCTTCTCCCTTCTTGTCTTCATCCTCCTCTTCACGTCGCTCTGGCCCTTCTCCGTTTTATACTTGGTGTGGCTCTACGTGGACTGGGACACACCCAACCAAGGTGAGCTCCGGACGGGGGCCCAGGTAGGGAGAGATGGTGAGGACTTGGGGGGTGAGGGAAGGTGGCCCCGGGGGTCCTTCCACCAGGATCTCATTGTCTGCAGGTGGAAGGCGTTCTGAGTGGATGAGGAACCAGGCGATTTGGAGACAACTGAGAGACTATTATCCCGTTAAGGTGATGGGTCACCCTGCAGAGAAGCTGCTTCCTCCCTCTTCCCATCTCCCACTCCTAGGAGTGCTTCCCTGTGCTGGGGCCTGAGCTCCCTGCCGGCTAATCTCAGGCAGGGGGACGGGGAGTGGGTGGTGGAGTTGTTTGTTTGTTTGTTTGTTTGTTTGTTTGTTTGTTTGTTTCATTTTGAGACTGAGTCTCCCTTTGCCGCCCAGGCTGGAGTGCAGTGGCGAGATCTCGGCTCACCGCAACCTCCACCTCCTGAGTTCAAGCTACTCTCATGCTTCAGACTCCCGAGTAGCTGGGATTATAGTTCCCCCAACCATGCCCTGCTAATTTTTATAGTTTTAGTAGAGATAGGATTTCAACATGTTGGCCAGGCTGGTTTTAAACTCCTGGCCTCAAGTGATCTGCCCACCTTGGCCTCCCAAAGTGCCAGGATTACAGCCATGAGCCACTGAGCCCCGCCTGGGAGTGGAAGGTGTTTAAGAATGGGCCCTTGGGGCCAGGCATGGTGGCTCACGCCTGTAATCCCAGCACTTTGGGAGGCCAAGGTGGGTGGATCATGAGGTCAGGAGTCCAAGACCAGTCTGGCCAAGATGGTGAAACCCCGTCTCTACTAAAAATTACAAAAAAATTAGGCAGGCGCCGTGGCAGGCACCTATAATCCCAGCTACTAGTGAGGCTGAGGCAGGAGAATCACTTGAACCCAAGAGGCGGAGGCAGTGAGGTGAGATGGCACCATTACACTCCAGCCTGGGCAACAGAGTGAGACTCTGACTCAAAAAGAAAAAAAAGGAGTGGGCACTTGGTGGGGCACAGTGGCTCATGCCTATAATTCTAGCACTTTGGGAGGATCACTTGAGCCCAGGAGTTGGAAGCTGCAGTGAGCTATGATTGTGCCACTGCACTCCAGCCTGAGCAACAGAGTGAGACCCCGTTTCTTAGAAAAGAGTGGGCCCTTGACCCTATCCTAAGGACCTTGAACTCGGAAGTCTGTTGGGGTGGAGGGCCCCTCTTTTCAGCCAGTGCCTTGCCTGCCATCCTCCCTTCATTCTGCCCAATACCCCAAAGCTGGTGAAAACGGCAGAGCTGCCCCCGGACCGGAACTACGTGCTGGGCGCCCACCCGCATGGGGTCATGTGCACAGGATTCCTCTGTAATTTCTCCACCGAGAGCAATGGCTTCTCCCAGCTCTTCCCAGGGCTCCAGCCCTGGTTAGCCGTGCTGGCTGGCCTCTTCTACGTCCCGGTCTACCGCGACTATATCATGTCCTTTGGTGAGCTGAATGGGAGGAGGCGACTCCTGGCCAGATGTTCCCCAGCCCCTCAGGGACCCCCCCCAATAAGTCCCCAGAACAGGGGCCAGCCTGAGCACTGTTGCAGTGAGCATTTGGCTGTAGCTTCCCTGCTTTGGAGATGCGGGTAGGGGGGTTTGGAACTAAAGTCTGGGTGAGGGGCTGGGGTGCCGTGGACGCAGATGGTGATACTTTCCACCTCCTCCTGCCCACAGGACTCCGTCCCGTGAGTCGCCAGAGCCTGGACTTCATCCTATCCCAGCCCCGGCTCGGGCAGGCCGTGGTCATCATGGTCGGGGGTGCCCATGAGGCGCTGTATTCAGTCCCGGGGAAGCACTGCCTCACTCTCCGGAAGCGCAAAGGCTTTGTGCGCCTGGCGCTGAGACATGGGTGAGTGTGCATGCAGGTCCCACCTGTCAGTTCTCTGCTGGTTTACGCCGTCTCAGTCTCCAGACATCCAGGTCCCTGCAGGGTGGATCTGGGTACCCACAGACCAGTGCCAGGCTCTCCAGGGCATGACTTGGTGCCAAACACAGGCCTCGCTTACCCCAGGCTCCTTCCTACCCGCAAGGAGACAGACTATAATGTCTCCTCGGGCTCAGAAGCCCTGGATTCTCTCCTGACCCCATCTCAAAGTCAAGACCGGCGGTCTCGGTGGCTCACACTTGTAATTCCAGCACTTAGGGAGGCTGAGGCGGACTGATCATGAGGTGGGGAATTCGAGACCATCCTAGCCAGCACAGTGAAACCCCGTCTCTACTAAAAATACAAATAATTAGCCAGGCATGCTGGTGTGCACCTGTAATCCCAGCTACTCAGGAGGCAGAGGCAGGAGTATCGCTTGAATCCGGGAGACAGAGGTTACAGTGAGCCGAGATCACGCCATTGCACTCCAGCCCAGGTAACAGTGTGAGACTCTATGTCAAAAAAAAAAGGGCAATACTTTGGACTTGTTTTATTGTTGCTGTTGAGACCGTCTCGCTCTGTCACCCAGGCTGGAGTGCAAGGTGTGATCTTAGATCACTGCAACCTTCGCCTCCCCGGTTCAAGTGATTCCCCTGCCTCAGCCTCCCGAGTAGTTGAGACTATAGGAGCATGCCACCACACCCGGCTAAGTTTTATATTTTTAGTAGAGACTGGGTTTCGCCATTTTGGCCAGGCTGGTCTCGAACTCCTGGCCTCAAGTGATCTGCCTGCCTCAGCCTCCCAAAGTGCTGGGATTACAGGTGTGAGCCACCGTGCCCAGCCAGACTTGTTTCTTTACCTGTGAAGAGGGCTGATACCTACCTTGCCACAATGTTGTTGCAAAGACTGAATGAGAAAATAGCTATGAGAAAGCCCACTACACAACTGTGTCTCAAGAAATATGAGTCCTGGCTGGGTGTGGTGGTTCGCACCTGCCATCCCTGCTCTTTGGGAGGCCAAGGCAGGAAGATCACTTGAAGCCAGGAGTTCAAGACCAGTCTGGGCAACATAGGGAGACCTAATCTCTACAAAAAAAAAAAAAAATTAGCCAGGTGTGGTGGTGCACTCCCGTAGTTTCAGCTACTCAGGAGGCCGAGGTGGGAGATGACTTGAGCCCTGGAGGTTGAAGCTGCAGTGAGCTATGATTGTACCACCACCCTCCAGCCTGGCCAGCAGAGCAAGGCCTCGTCTCTTTAAAAAGTTTTTAACAGCCAGGCGCGGTGGCTCACGCCTATAATCCAAGCACTTTGGGAGGCCAAGGCAGGTGGATCACGAGGTCAAGAGATTGAGACCATCCTGGTCAACAAGGTGAAACCCCATCTCTACTAAAAATACAAAAATTACCTGGGCATGGTGGTGCGTGCCTGTAGTCCCAGCTACTCGGGAGGCTGAGGCAGGAGAATTGCTTGAACCCAGAAGGTGGAGGTTGCGGCGAGCCGAGATCGTGCCATCGCACTCCAGTCTGGGTAACAACAGCGAAACTCCATCTCAAAAAAAAAAAAAAAAAATTTGTAAAAGGCCAAGCGTGGTGGCTCACGCCTGTAATCCAAGCACTTTGGAGGCCAAGGCGGGCGGATCACCTGAGGTCGGGAGTTCAAGACCAGCCCAAGCAACATGGTGAAACCCCATCTTTATTAAAAAAAAAAAAAAAAAATTAAAAAAAAATTTTTAAATTGTTATTTATTTATTTTAAATATTTATTTATTTATTTATTTATTTGCAGATAGAATCTTGCTCTGTCACTCAGGCTGGGGTGCAGTGGCACCGATCTCAGCTCACTGCAACCTCCACTTCCGGAATTCAAGCAATTCTTCTGTCTCAACCTCCTAAATAGCTGGGACTGCAGGTGCACATCATCATGCCTGGCCAATTTTTTTGTATTTTTAGTAGCGCTAGGATTTCACCATATTGGTCAGGCTGGTCTCAAAGTCCTGACCTCAGATAATCTACCCACCTCGGCCTCCCAAAGTGTTGGGATTACAGGCGTGAGCCACTGCGCCCAGCCTATTTCTGTTTTGAGACAGAATCTTACTTTGTCACCCAGGCTGAAGTGCAGTGGTGTGATGTTGGCTCACAGCAACCTCTGCCTCCTGGGTTCAAGCAGTTTCTGTGCCTCAGCCTCCGTAGTAGCTGGGACTACAAGTGTGCACCACCATGCCTGGCTAAATCTTTTTTTCAGGAGGATGGAGTCTTGCTTTTGTTGCCCAGGCTGGAGTGCAAAATGGCATGATCTCAGCTCACTGCAACCTGTGCCTCCTGGATTCACGCAGTTCTGCCTCAGCCTTCCAAGTAGCTGGGATTACAGGCACCTGCCACCACACCTGGCTGATTTTTGTATTTTTTGTAGAGATGGTGTTTTGCCATGTTGGCCAGGCTGGTCCTGAACTCCTGACCATGTGATCCCCCTGCCTCAGCCTCCTAAAGTGTTGGGATTACAGGCATAAACCACCACACGTGGCCTAATTTTTGTATTTTTGCAGAGACGGGGGTTTCATTATGTTGGCCACCAGGCTGGTCTCCAACTCCTGACCTCAAATGATCCTCTTGCCTTGGCCTCCCAAAGTTCTGGGATTACAGGGTGACCCGCCATGCCTAGCAACAAAACCCAGTCTCTAAAAAAAAAAAAAAAAGAGAAAGAAGGCTGAGTGTAGTGGCTCATGCCTGTAATCCCAGCACTTTGGGAGGTCGAGGCAGGCAGATCACAGCGTAAGGAGATTGAGATCACCCTGCCTAACATAGTGAAACCTCGTCTCTACTAAAAATAGAAAAAATTAGTCAGGTGTGATGGCAAGCGCCTGTAATCCCAGCTTCTCGGGAGGCTGAGGCAGGAGAATTGCTTGAAACTGGGAGGCGGTATTGCGGTGAACGGAGATCCTGCCACTGCCCACCGGCCTGGGTTACAGAGACTCCACCTCAAAAAAAACAAAAGAAAAGAAGAAACAGAGAAAGAGAGAGGAAGGAAGGAAAGAAGGGAGGGAGAAAGAAAGGAAGGAAGGAAAAAGAAAGAGGGAGGGAGGAAGGAGAAAGAAAAGGAAGGAAGGAGAGAGAGAAGAGAAAGGAGAGTCCTGTTTTCTAGATCTTTCTTTGGGGCCATAGTCATGTGCTTTGAATGGCCCTGGGAGGTAGCATCTGGATATAGGGGAGGGACTTAGAGCCTCTGAGGTGCCCGTCTTGGGGAGGTCCAGCAGCCTGAGCCCCTCTTCTCTCTTGCCCCTTTCCAGGGCATCCTTGGTGCCCGTGTACTCCTTTGGGGAGAACGATATCTTCAGACTTAAGGCTTTTGCCACAGGCTCCTGGCAGCACTGGTGCCAGCTCACCTTCAAGAAGCTCATGGGCTTCTCTCCTTGCATCTTCTGGGGGCGCAGTCTCTTCTCAGCCACCTCCTGGGGCCTGCTGCCCTTTGCTGTACCCATCACCACTGTGGGTGAGTGCCTACCTCCAGGGGGACGGCTGCCAGCAGCCGCGTGGGCATCAGGGACCTCTTGCCACCCATGTCTCCCTCTCCCTGCAGTGGGCCGCCCCATCCCTGTCCCCCAGCGCCTCCACCCCACTGAGGAGGAAGTCAGTCACTATCACGCACTCTACATGATGGCCCTGGAGAAGCTCTTCGAGGAGCACAAGGAAAGCTGTGGGGTCCCTGCTTCCACCTGCCTCACCCTCATCTAGCCTGGCTGCGGCCTCTCGCTGAGCCCCTGAGCCAGGGCACTGAGACCTCCACCTGCTGTGGGCTCCGGGTCTCCAATAAAAGGTAGTTCTAGGCCTAGCATGGTAATCCCTAGCTCACGCCTTAATCCCAGCACTTTGGGAGGCCGAGGCAGGTGGATTACTTGAGCCTGGCAGTTGAAGACTGGCCTGGGCAAAATAGTGAGACTTCCTTCTTACAAAAATTAAATATAATGTTATTAATTAGCTGGGCAGGGTGGAGTGTGCCTGTAATCCCAGCTACTCGGGAGGCTGAGGCAGGAGAATTGCTTGAACCTGGGAGATGGAGGTTGCAGTGAGCTGAGATGGCACCACTGCACTCCAGCCTGGACAACACAGCGAGACTCCATCTAAAAAAATTAAAATGTTGTTAAAGCTGTAATAGACTGGGCGCAGTGTTTCACACCTGTAATCCCAGCACTTTGGGAAGCCAAGGCGGGCAGATCACCTGAGGTCAGGAGTTCAAGACCAGCCTAGCTAGCATGGTGAAACCCCCTCTCTACTAAAAACACAAACATTAGCCCAGCATGGTGGCTCATGTCTATAATCCCAGCTACTCAGGAGGCTGAGGCAGGAGAATCTGTTTAACCCAGGAGGCGGAGGTTGCAGTGAGCTGAGATTGTGTCACTGCACTGCAGCCTGGGCAACAAAGTGAGATTCCATCTCAAAAAATAAAAATAAAAGTATTGTTAAAGCTATAATCATTCTGGAATTGAGCATGGCCAGGCATAACCCACCCGCATCCTGATGTGCTACAAAGCTGCTGCCTTACACGGGGTAGCAGGACCCCGAACTGTCCTCCCAGTGGGATTTCAGTCTGTGGCATGACTTTGGACAAGTCTCTTTCTTTTGCCTGTTTACTTCTTTGTTTATAAATAAAGGCATCTGCTTAGCAAAGAGCTGTCAGGCATTAGATGGAGTTAGGTGGGAGGATGCATGGATCGGCAGTCTTTGAAGAGTGAGCAGGATTGGCTGGGCACGGTGGCTCACGCATATAATCCCAGCACTTTGGGAGGCTGAGGCGGGCAGATCAGGAGGTCAGGAGTTCGAGACCAGCCTGGCCAACAAGGTGGAACTCTGTCTCTACTAAAGATACAAAAAAAAACAATTAGTTGGGGGTTGTGGTGGGCACCTGTAATCCCAGCTACTTGGGAGGCTGAGGCAGGAGAATCCCTTGAATCTGAGAGGTGGAGGTTGCAGTGAGCCAAGATCTTGCCATTGCACTCTAGCCTGGGCAACAGGGTGAGACTTCGTCTCAAAAAACAAAAGAAGAGCGGGAGTTAGGTGGAGAAAAAGTAGTTAGGGTAGACGGCGGAATTCCAAGAGCTAAAGGTGAGCAGGATGGGGAAATGGCACCATCCCCAATAGAGGAAAGGTAGAGTTATGGACACAGCTGGCTTCTGCACACACTCACCATCCTTTATGTTTCCCTGGGGCTGGAAAGATCAGATGAAGCAAGGTTTGACCCTAGTAACAACACCTACTGCAGATGGTTCACATCTGTGATCCCAGCAGTTTGGGAGGCTGAGGTGGAAAGATCGCTTGAGTCCAGGAGTTCAAGACCAGACTGGGCAACATAGCAAGACCCCATCTCTATAAAAAATATATAAAAAATTAGCCAGGCTTGGTGGCATGTGCCTGTAGTCCCAGGTACTCGTAGACTGAGGCAGGAAGATTGCTTGGTCCCAGGAGCGGGAGGCTGCAGTGAGCTATGATTGTGTCAGCCTGGGAGGTAGAGCAAGACCCCATCTTAAAGAAACAAAAAAAGGCCGGGCCGTGCGTGGTAGCTCACGCCTGTAATCCAAGCACTTTGGGAGGCAGGCAGATCACAAGGTCAGGAGTTTTTGTGGTTTTTTGTTTTGTTTTGTTTTGAGACAGAGTCTTGCTCTGTTGCCAGGTGCCAGGCTGGAGTGCAGTGGCGAAATCTCGGCTCACTGCAACCTCGGCCTCCTACAGGCATGCATCACCACTCCCAGCTAACTGTTGTATTTTAGTAGAGCTGGGTTTCACGTATTGGCCAGGATGGTCTCGATCTCTTGATCTCGTGATCCGCCCGCCTTGGCCTCCAAAAGTTCTGGGATTGCAGGCATGAGCCACCACGCCCGGCCCGAGGTCAGGAGATCGAGACCAGCCTGTCCAACATAGTGAAACCCCGTCTGCAATAAAAATACAAAAATTGGCCAGGCATGGTGGTAGGCACCTGTAATCCCAGCTACTTGGGAGGCTGAGGCAGGAGATTCACTTGAACCTGGAAGGCAGAGGTTGCAGTGAGCCAAGATCACACCATTGCGTTCTAGCCTGGATGACAGTGTGAGACTCCTTCTCACAAAAAAATAAAAAAATAAAAATAAATAAAAATGCTGGGTGCGGTGGCTCATGTCTGTAATCCCAGCACTTTGGGAGGCCAAAGCAGGCAGATTTCTAGGTCAGGAGTTTGAAACCAGCCTGGCCAACATGGTGAAACCGCTTCTCTACTAAAAATACAAAAATTAGCCAGGCATAGTGGCAGGTGCCTGAAATCCTAATTACTCAGGAGGCTGAGGCAGGAGAATTGCTTGAACACAGGAGGTGGAGGTTGCAATGAGCTGAGATCATGCCATTGCACTCCAGGCTGGGCAACACAGCAAGATTCTGTCTCAAAAAAAAAAAAAAAAAGAACTGTATTCTTTTTTTTTCTTCTTCTTTGCTCGGCATTTAAGTTTAGCATTTGGCTCAGAATTATAGATGGTTGTGAAGATGATTAAATCTTAAGATTTAAGGATTTAGAACAAAGACCGGCACAAAAGAGGAGCCAGTGAGAGATTGCTGTCATCATCCTCACCATTATCATCGTTATAGGCATGGCATTGGTAAAATGAGGGGGTGAGACTAAACGGTCTAGAAGTGCTGGTGTGGCTGGGCGCGGTGGCTCACGCCTGGAATCCCAGGACTTTGGGAGGCTACGGTGGGAGGATCACGTGAGCTCTGGTGTTTGAGATCAGCTTCAGCAACACAGCGAAACCCCACGTCTATGAAAAATACTAGAAATTAGGCCGGGTGTGGTGGCTCACTCCTGTAATCCCAGCACTTTGGGAGGCCGAGGCAGACAGATCACCTGAGGTCAGGAGCCCGAGACCAGCCTGGCGCCAACATGGAGAAACCCCATCTCTACTAAAAACACAAAATTAGCCAGGCGTGCTGGTGCATGCCTGGAATCCCAGCTACTCAGGAAACTGAGGCAGGAGAATTGCTTGAACCTGGGAGACAGAAGTTGCGGTAAGCCGAGATCATGCCACTGCACTCCAGCCTGGGCAGCAAGAGTGAAACTCCACCTCAAAAAAAAAAAAAGAAATTAACCAGGTGTGACGGCTCATGATTGTAGTCCCAGCTACTTGGGAGGTAGAGGTGGGAGAATCTCTTGAGCCCAGGAGGTCAAGGCCGCAGTGAGCCGACATCGTGCCACTGCACTCCAGCCTGGGTGACAAAGCAAGACCCCATCTCAAACAAACAAAAAGAGCCCTGGTGTGATCAGAGCCTCCTCTGACTTTCGTCAGTCCTGTTTGCTGACTGGCTTTGTGTGTCCAGGACTTGATTAGGAATAACTAATCAAGTAATTGGAATGCACTAGACTTGACTCTACTGTTCTATAAAATGTATTTGTGGGAAGAATTTTCCCTGCCTTGGATGAGAATGTGGGCAGTCCCACAACTTCCCTGGGTCATTTGCAGATAAGAAGTTCTACATTCATTTTAAGTTGGAGCATAGAAATGTTTAGTTCAGTCTGGGAGTGGTGGCTCAGGCCTGTAATCCCAGCACCTTGGGAGGCCGAGATGGGCAGATCAGCTGAGACCAGCAGTTCAAGACCAGCCTTGCCAACATGGTGAAACCCCGTCTCTACTGGGAATACAAAAATTAGCCAGGTGTTGGGTGCCTGTAATCCCAGCTACTCAGGAGGCTGAGGCAGGAGAATCACTTGAACCCGGAGGCAGAGGTTGCAGTGAACTGAGATCTCACCACTGCACACCAGCCTGGGCAACAGAGTGAGAAGCTGTCAAAATAAATAAATAAATAATCAGCTCCAGGCTTGGAGCAACCTTGGCCTGGATTCCCTTGGAGTTCAGGCAGACCTCGATGTGAATATTTGTCCTTCCCTCTTTCCCGCCATGGGAGCATCCCGTCAGGCACAATCAATCCGGCCAATAGATTTCTCCAGTGGGCACATTTTCCTGACGCTGGGGATGGGCCGGGTGTGGTGGTACGCCTCTGTCATCCCAGCGCTTTGGGAGGCCAAAGTGGGAGGATGCTTTGAGGCCGGGAGTTACAGGCTGAGCCACGATTGCACCACAGCACTCCAGCCTGGGCAACAAAGCAAAACCCCGTCTTTTTTTTTTTTCAGACAGAGTCTCGCTCTGTAGCCCAGGCTGGAGTGCAGTGGTGGGATCTCGGCTCACTGCAATCTGTGACTCCCTGGTTCAAGCGATTCTCCTGCCTCGGCCTCCCGAGTAGCTGGGATTACAGGCGTCCACCACCGAGCCCAGCAAATTTTTTTGTATTTTTAGTAGAGATGGGGTTTCACCAGACTGGCCAGGATGATCTCGATCTCCTGACCTCATGATCCACCCACCTCAGCCTCCTAAAGTGCTGGGATTACAGGCTTGAGCCAGCGCACCTGGCCAAAACCCCGTCTTTTAAAAAAGAGAAAGAAGCAATAGCGTTTGCGTTAGGAGCTCAGCCTGTTGCTTTCTTTCGGGGCTATTCTTCCCTGCCATCCTCCATAGGGCCACCAGAGGGCTGTCTCTACAGCGAAGGCAAATCTGTCCCACTGTTGCTTGAGGTCCTGGGGCTACCCAGCCTCTGCCAACAGGCTGGGTCCAAGGTGCAGCCCCACCCAGTGCAGACAGCCCAGAACTGCTTGTTCTTGCGAATCAGGCTGTGTCTCAGCCCTGGGCTTTACTCAGGCTGCCCCTCCCACCTGAGGGACCCAGCCCGCTTTATCTGGAAGGGGATCTTCGAGACTCAGTGTAGGTTCTAGTTCCAAGACACTGTCCCTGACCTGCCAACCTGCCAGGCTGGTTCAGGGCCCTCCTTGCCATCCCCCTAAAGATCTATCAAGACCTTCTCCGAAGACAAAAGAAAGAAAAAAGAAGACCTTCTCCAGCCTGGCCAACATGGCAAAAACCCGTCTCTACTAAAAATACAGAAATTAGGAGGCATGGTCGCAGGTACCCACAATCCCAGCTACTCGAGAGGCTGAGGACTGAGGCAGGAGAATCACTTGAATCCGGGAGGCGGAGGTTGCAGTAAGCTGAGACAGCACTGCTGCACTCCAGCCTGGGTGACAGTGCGACTCCATCTCAAAGAAAAATAAAAATTAAAAAAAACCTTCTGTGGTTTTTTGGTTTC